TGGCAAATCAAACTTCAGAATTCAGGTGGTACTTTGTGCTCAATTTCTTTCCAAAGAACGTTTATTTGCTAGTGGTGTAATAGTGCCACAAGTAGAGTCTAGAAAGTTTATGAAAATTTTTCCACCTCAAATTAATGGATGTTGTAATGTTCCGAGAATCATTTACATGATATACGCTGCTCTCTTGACATGGGAATTACTTTCTGTGTATTCATCAATGATAAAATATAATAATATGGTCCGTAACTATTATTTGGAATATATCTGTACAGTAATTACACCTGGTAAGCTTCAATTGTACCTGCATTAATTCATGATAAATGCATGTAGGATTCCATTTCAAAACTTTTAAGCAATCATCTACACCACATCAAATTAATGTTTACCTTCTGCCCTGCTGTTTATACAATACTTATAATATATAGGCAAGCAGTTCTAGAATATAAAATCCAACGTTCAGTTTCCAATGTCCGATATATCTAGTACAAGAAAAATTATAAAAATATATTCATTCTTTTGCGTAACATCTTTCCTTGCAAAAAATCAGTAAAATAAACTAAACGTGAACAAATTCTTTGTATATGGTGAGCCAAAATGTTGGATCTCACTGGCATTTGCTGATCCTTGTTATCTTTATGGGTTGCACTATGTTTTTCTGGAGGTGGCTGGCTGACTCTGTGGCTCTATGGTGACACACAAAACCTCGCTAAGTAACTGGTGGTACTGCAAAGGGTGGGGTTACTAGTAATGTTTCAGGGGTACTATTCCTTGTGCTAGATAGAGGCTCACAGTTTCTGTGAATTAATTAGCCATTATAATCAATCAAATGTGATGTTGGGACAACTCTGCAAGATGAATCCTTTTCCTTCATGTTTCTTACCATCCTTGTAAGGGTTGGTTATTCTGACTAGTTGACCTTCGATCTATAACCTCTTGGATTAAGATTGAGAATTGAAATGCTATTAGTCCTTGTTTTAACCTAAGCTCTGCCTAAATGTCTTATTCAATGTCAGCCAGGCGAATGTTACTGCAGTAGTGACATTCAATGGTCTTGTCTCTTATTGACATCAGCTTTTGTATCAGGCTAGTATCTATGTTGACTGTAAAGTGTTCCAGAAAACTCAAGATTTCAGTCGTTTTTTGTGAAGAGCCGTGGGGATGATAAACTTAAACCATACCCCATCATAGATACTTATTTCATCATGAAACAACAAATACTCAGCAATGCTGCTATCTCTGGTTTACTAAGGTAATTAACAGAGCCTAGAAATCTTTGCACAACTTCTACCTTCTCTGCTCTACGACATCTAGATATCCACACTTTTTCAGACTCTATGTGGTTCTCACCAGGCAAGCACTGCAGTATCTGAAACAACCACATTGTTCTATTTGGACCCCGCTATCTTCTCTTTGATATATTGATTTGTTGGAAGATTATTCTATTTTTTATATATCTCCGATCCTAATTGTCAGGCTCTTGATCGTCCTGTCCCTCTATTTTCTTTAGTTGTTCAATCGTGGCCTCGTTTAACTTTCTAGCTTTCTCAAGCGTGCAATCTTCCTCGCGTGAATTAAAGCCTGGTCCTAGTCGCAATGTCCAGGCAGCAAAAAACCAGACGATCTCTCAAACTGATCAATAGTTTCGTGTAGTTGCTGTTCAGAAATGTATCTTGTACTAGTACGAAGTGGAAAAATGATTGGTTCTTGCTTTTTGGCTCTCTAATAGTGTTTTAAGTATTTTCAAAGTATTTTCTTACACTCAGTTCCCACCAAATTGTTCAACGTCATCATTTGAATCTTCCTAATATCGCTTTCTGCCAGCGTTCCTGTAAACAGTGCATCTGCCTCTGTTTGTCGAGGTAATTAACAGAGCCTAAAAATCTTTGCACAACTTCTACCTTCTCTGCCCTGCGACATTTATCTATGAGGTTGTCATATGTCTTACACTGACTCCATTCACTTTTTCAGACTCTATGTGGTTCTTACCAGGCAAGCACTGCAGTATCTGAAACGACCACATTGTTCTATTTGGACCCCGCTATCTTCTCTTTGATATATTGATTTGTTGGACGATTATTCTATTTTTTATATATCTCCGATCCTAATTGCCAGGCTCTTGATCGTCCTCTCCCTCTATTTTCTTTAGTTGTTCAATCGTGGCCTTGTTTAACTTTCTAGCTTTCTCAAGCGTGCAATCTTCCTCGCGTGAATTAAAGCCTGGTCCTAGCCGCACTGTCCAGGCAGCAAAGAACCAGATGATCTCTGAAACTGATCAATAGTTTCGTGTAGTTGCTGAAATATATCTTGTATTGGTACGAAGTGGAACAATCGCTGGTTCTTGCATTTTGGCTCTGATAATTTTAGTTTTTTAAGTATTTTCTTACACTCAGTTCCCACCAAACTGTTCAACGTCGTCATTTGAATCTTCCTAATCTCGCTTTCAACCAGCGTTTCTGATAGTATTCTCCATGAAGAAGGGAGGTCTGGTGGTTTGGTTGGTCTTGTTTCTCATTGACATCAACTTTCGTATCAGGCTACTATTTATACTGTCTGTAAGGTGTTCCAGAAAACTCAAGATTTCCGTCGTTTCTTGTGAAGAACCGTGGGGATTTATACAACCATAGATACCCCACCATGGATATTTATTTCATCATGGAACAACAAATACTAAGCAATGCTCCTATCTCTGCTTTGGTTTAAGCTGTATTCCTGTAAACAGTGCATCTGCCCCTGTTTGGCGAGGTGATTAACAGAGCCTAGAAATCTTTGCACAACTTCTACCTTCTCTGCCCTGCGACATCTATGCATTCACTTTTTCAAACTCTATGTGGTTCTCACCAGGCAAGCACTCCAATATCTCAAACGCATCTTCATATTCCTTATCTAGCGACTGTATGGACTCGACCACATTACTTGCCCTTTCTACATTGTTCATTACGATCCTGATATTTTTCTTTGATATATTGATTTGTTCGAAGATTATTTTATTTCTTTACATTTCTCGAAACATAATCGACAGGATCTTATTCGTCTTCTCCTCTATTTTCTTCAGTTGTTCAATCTTAGCCTCGTCATACAGAACAACTTTCTAGCTTTCTTAAGCGTGAAATCTTCCTCGCGTGAATCAAAGCTTTGTCCTAGCAGCACTGTCCAGACGATCTCTCAAACTGATCAATAGTTTCATGTATTTGCTGTTTAGAAATGTATCTTGTACTGGTACGAAGTGGAACAATCGCTGGTTCTTGCATTTTGGCTCTCTGACAGTGTTTTAAGTATTTTCGAAGTATTTTCTTACACTCAGTTCCCACCAGGCTGTTCAACTTCGTCATTGGAATATTGCTTCGCTTTCAGCCTGGGCTTCCGATAGTGTTCTTCATGAAGAAGAGAGGAAGTGCATTGCAAAAATAGTTTTAATAACTTTTTCTTGATATGGTTATGGTGCTGAAAGCTTACTGGGCGATAATGAAATATTTGACCAACATAGCTTTTAGTACACTTCCACTGAACAATAATCTCCTGAATCTTAGGGTGTATCTGGTGATGCAGTAATAGTGACAGTACGTAATCCCCTAAAACATTTGTAGTACTAGTACTGTACCTTCTTAGACTGGTGTTATCAAGGCACATTACTCTGCCTTCTTAGACTGGTGTTATCAAGACACATTACTCTTTTTTCTTAGACTGGTCTAATCAAGACATTACTCTGCCTTCTTAGACTGGTGTTATCAAGGCATTACTCTGCCTTCTAAGACTGGTGTTATCAAGACACATTACTCTGCCTTCTTAGACTGGTGTTATCAAGACATTACTCTGCCTTCTTAGACTGGTGTTATCAAGACACATTACTCTTTTTTCTTAGACTGGTGTTATCAAGGCATTACTCTGCCTTCTTAGTCTGGTGTTATCAAGACACATTACTCTTTCTTCTTAGACTGATGTTATTTGATTTGATTTTTGTAAATTTCTTCCACGCAAAGTTCTAAAAGCCCTCGGCGCTTTTGTACGTTGGAACGAATTTTGAAACAGGGCGAATTTTGTACATACCCATAACTCACTTCGTCCATTTCACGAAATGTTCATCTCTGCATGTCTTTTTCCTGACTCAACCTTGCAGCTGGTTGCTTTCATTTATATACAGAAGAATATTTGCTCCATGCGGTTTTTACGTTATGTTTTATTTCCTATTTTTGCTCAGTATATTATAAACACCAAAAAAGATAAAGTTTAAACAAGTCTTTTCATGACAATTAACAAGACTGATTATCACGAGTAAAAACTACTACTAAAATTTCTGCAATCTGATTGGCTACGCCACGTCTTAGTGCGATTTTTCCTACTCCTGAAAATATTGTTTTTTACAAGTTTTTTTCTAAAAAATTACCAACATGGCTCTTGATTTCTATGTTAAGATAAACGTTGCCCTCATTCCATAATAGGGACCTTAAGATACACCAAATCTACGACGCTGACGTGAAGTAATACTGTCTTCATTTCGACAGTTTCACAACAGGGGCCGGTTGTTCAAAAGCTGGTTAGATTAACCCATATGGATTAACCCTAGCTGGGTTATAGCAAATCTTTACATTAATTTTTCTAATCACTTGTTTACGAAGTTGAATATCTTTTTTCATGAATATTTTCTGGACCGATGGAAGTAATATTTTTTAAAGTTTCAAAACGAACGGTTGTTCAGAAGCACATGAACTAAAACACTGGATTAAGATTTAACCCAGAGTTTGCGGCCCCAGACTTCTTTTATGGACTCCTTTTGGTGAACGAGGTCAGAGACTCAGAGCTGTGTGTAAAACTAATTAAAACTGAGTTCCTAACACTGACTAGCGGCTAATTTCATGTCACGTCCGCGTCGTAGATTTCGTGTATCTTAAGGTCCCTAATTACTCTACCTGTCAGGAGCCGGTTGTATCAAGCCCGTTTAGCATAAACGGTGGTTAAGTTCAAAATAGAAAGCAAGTTATCGTTTTATTCAACAAGCGAACTAAATGTCTTTAACCTCAATACAAAGATACTGTTTACAACTACATATTGAGTGCATAATATCCAAGTTGATTTATTCAAGAGAGACGTTAAGAGTGTTATTAAATTTTGACTTGTCCACACTCCACAGTTTAAGCTAAACGAGCTTGATACAACCGGCCCCAGGTAGTCAAACAGTAGATTATTTCTACATTTTGACTTGGAAACTATAAGATTCTCGTTATTACAGGTGATAACAGTGATAATGGCCGTTTAGATCTTGGAGACATTGAGAATGGCCAAGGGTAAGTTTAGGCCTAGAAACTACATTGGATTAATATTACCGTGAACGTTATGCGACCTCGGCTTATATATCCGCTATTTTTCTGGCAAAATAATTTGCTTTGGTGATTTTTGTTTCTTCAAATGCAAGTCGGAACCATTTTCTTCTTATCATACCTCGATTAAAACTGTTCATGCATTTGTTGTTAACCATGTGGTGTGAGAAAACGTAAATTTTAAAATTTATATCCGTAACCATATTTCGAACAAATCTGTTTATTATGTTGACATACCTGAAATTCGACATCTTCATTGTCAGCGTGGTGTATGAGTAGAGGTATTGCAACAGTCTGCTAGTATTGAGTTAAAGATTCAAAATATCAATCTTACATTTGCTGACGGTATTTTATCAATTTTTCACGCAGTCATGCCGCTCGTAGAACATCAGATCCAAGAGAACAATTTGTGGTATACGAAAACGTGAGTAGCTACATGTATACTTAGAGGAGAAAGCGCATGTATAACAACTATCTTTAGTCTAGTGAAGACAAGCAAATATGGTTTGGACAATTTGATACCGAGAATACAGCAATTATAATAATCCAGTAAAAATCGCAGCAACTATAGCAATATAATCCGATTTAAAGTAATGTTAGTATAACTAACAAGCCAAATACCATTTGTTGCGCGACAAAAGTGTTTATTAACAATTTAATACATATTTACATGAAAATAATAATTAATTAATTCGGTCAGCGATTTTGCTTTTTCTTTGGTTTTACTATGCACCGTATATGAGCTGATATACGGTGGGTATAGCTCGACCAATCAAATTGCAGAATAGCTCATATACAGTGAGTAGCTATACTATAACAATTTATACATATTACAACAATGATCATCGACAAGCGACAAGTTTGGCACAACATCAGGCAAGTATTTTACAAACGTCTTAACGATATTTTTTGTCTAGAATTTTTATTCTTTCTTCACCGTTGCTTTACAGCGTCGCGTATTTTTTCTTAGCTATTAGTGATCGAGTTTAAGATGCACAAAATCTACGAAGACTCTTTTTCATAAACAAAGTCAGAGCCGTATGTAAAACAAATTAATACTGGTTTCCTAACACACGTTTTTCATGTCACGTCCGCGTCGTAGATTTGGTGCATCTTAAACTCGCTATTTAATTGATGTGGACTGGCCATGACACCGCGGTGAAAGCTAGAACGCATGCGCAATTGGTAGAGTTCATGAACGCCATTTGACGTCAGTGTGAAAGGATCTATTATTGTTCTTTTGTTCGATTAATGTTGACTACTTCGGTTTGATGCGGTAGCTTCCAGCCAGAAATGTTCCTCTTTAAAATTAAATGCTAGGAGAAGGATGAGTAATTCCAGTATTGGAATAGCACATTTAGCTACATATACCGCACTGTAAACCAGTGAAATCTTGTGTTGTTGATATTATTATAGAGCTTTAGGTTGATTACGAGTGAGTAATGCCCCTTGGGATAGGATAGATCGCGGGATAAAGTTTTGGATTATCTGAAAACATGATGGAGAATCCCGTATCGTTGTTGCGGGTGAATCTTGTCGTTCTACTCAACTCGTAGTCAACTCTAAAGATCTCTATTTTCACAGGAGTGTGAGGTCCGCTTTGAACGAGTCCGCTTCCAACGACGCAGTGTGCCAATATTAAGCGTCGACGAATCGACAAGAACTGAACCGGAAGCTACTACTGTCCGACGGAGGTACCGACGTTGCCCAAGACCACCAAGCAACCCCAGGAAACCTAAAATAGTTCCGGCTAGATTTCCAACAAACCGACCTGTACCATCCAACGGAAACTCACAATCAATCGCCACAAGTCCAGTTAATCAAATTGTTACAAAGAACGGTGGTTTGGATTTTGGTGAACCACCAAAACTCTGTAACCTAACCCATCGGTTGACAACACCGTCACCCCCAGTAAACAAGAAGATCTTGGAATCCTTTTCTAACGATAGTGTTGAAGCAACTGGTGAAACCAATCCACTTGCCAAGTATTTTTCAACGCGAGGAAATACATCATCTACCTCAAAGGAAGCGGCTACTCCAACACCGTCACCATCAGTAAACAAGAAGATCTTGGAAGCCTTTTCCAACGATCCTGTTGAAGCAACTGGTGTAACCAATCCACTTGCCAAGTATTTTTCGACACCAGCTCCGGGAGCTGTTGCGACGCAAGTTAAAACAATTGTTGAAGTTGAGAAGTTTGTTGAAGCTGAAGCACCAACTTCGACCCTTCCACCAGACGAATACGTCGTTGAACAAGTTGTTGAAAACTTAGTTCCAGCAGCAGCAGTTGAAGTTGAAGCACCTACTTCGACCCTTCCACCAGACGAATACGTCGTTGAACAAGTTGTTGAAAACTTAGTTCCAGCAGCAGCAGTTGAAGTTGAAGCACCTACTTCGACCCTTCCACCAGACGAATACGTCGTTGAACAAGTTGTTGAAAACTTAGTTGCAGCAGCAGCAGTTGAAGTTGAAGCACCTACTTCGACCCTTCCACCAGACGAATACGTCGTTGAACAAGTTGTTGAAAACTTAGTTGCAGCAGCAGCAGCAGTTGAAGTTCAAGCACCTACTTCGACCCTTCCACCAGACGAATACGTCGTTGAACAAGTTGTTGAAAACTTAGTTCCAGCAGCAGCAGTTGAAGTTGAAGCACCTACTTCGACCCTTCCACCAGACGAATACGTCGTTGAACAAGTTGTTGAAAACTTAGTTCCAGCAGCAGCAGTTGAAGTTGAAGCACCTACTTCGACCCTTCCACCAGACGAATACGTCGTTGAACAAGTTGTTGAAAACTTAGTTGCAGCAGCAGCAGTTGAAGTTGAAGCACCTACTTCGACCCTTCCACCAGACGAATACGTCGTTGAACAAGTTGTTGAAAACTTAGTTGCAGCAGCAGCAGTTGAAGTTCAAGCACCTACTTCGACCCTTCCACCAGACGAATACGTCGTTGAACAAGTTGTTGAAAACTTAGTTGCAGCAGCAGCAGCAGTTGAAGTTGAAGCACCTACTTCGACCCTTCCACCAGACGAATACGTCGTTGAACAAGTTGTTGAAAACTTAGTTGCAGCAGCAGCAGTTGAAGTTCAAGCACCTACTTCGACCCTTCCACCAGACGAATACGCCGTTGAACAAGTTGTTGATAACTTAGTTCCAGCACCTCCACCAGACGAAAACATCTTGAGGTCCGTTGCAAAAGATTTAGTTAAAGCAGCTATTGAGACCAGCAAAGAAGAGTTAATATCCGAGCAAATATCGCGTTTCGATTCATCTGCCTCTCAAGTTAAGAAGTTTGTAGAAGTTCAGGCGTTATTATTAAAAACGTCAACTTCGACCGTTCCACCAGACGAATACATCTTGAGGGCCGTTGCTAAAGACTTAGTTCAAGCAACTATTAAAGCAAGTCAGGTGGATTTATTCTCCGAAGTAACATTGTTAGACAGCTCCTCCTCAGATCAGCCTTGTAAAAATAAGATGTCTAACAATCAACACTCGTCGGCACACGAGTTCTTTGACAGCTTTGGTTCATCCGATTCCGGCACTGCACCCTTTCATCGTGTTGACCACAGTTTCTTTACGCCTAACAAGGATCAAACATCGTTCCCGGCCTTGCCACCAACATCGAATGCAGCCGAGCAACGTTTCGTATCGCCAGCGACAAACGCTCAAAATTTTGAGCCAGCAAATCTGAGCGCGTATGCACATCCACGTCAAAATGTAGGAGACCACGGCATGTCGATGCAAGAACCATCCTATGGGGCACAGGAGCGATATCCAACAGCTCAGCTCTTTAGTGAAGCTGGTGCTTCAACTACCAAAGAAACACCTCATGCCAAACAGCTCTCGGATGCTGAGAACCATGCAACATTGACTCCACCATCTTACGGGTCAAATTTGCCAGCACAGCCTTCTGCCCATACTGGAAACGACCTGTTTAACGTGGCGAAATCATCTACTCCTGGCGGTGGAATGTCCCAGTTGTTTTCCGGGCAGCACCAGAATGATCCTTTCGAAGGTTTTGGTTCTAGTCAGGAGGAGAGCCGAAGATTTCCTTCTTTTGTAGCAGGAGATGGAGTGCCTGGTTTTTCGATGAACACCGATGCACAACATTCTTTTCAGCATACAGAAGCTTCAGAGAAAGAACCTAAAGTAGGGAAATGGCCTTTCGACCACAGTGAATCGGCAGCATCTCAATTTGAACCACCTACCAGTCGAGACCAAAACACCTACCATGCATCTTCAGCTCAAAACCTGAACGCACCGCCATCGAGTTCAACTTTTCCTGATTTCGACCAGAAAAATTATTCACTTGGGGACACAGCCACAGTATCGTCTGATACAGCTATGGCATTCAGTGGTATTCCTAGACCCAATACCGTATTGGGTAACCAGAGTAAGACTTCTGGCGAAACATTACCAGGCCAAGACGTTGTTGAAACTTACGATCCAATTGGAAAACAACCAGTTGAACTTGCCAGCAATTTATATCCTACTGAACACAACGCTTTTCCAGCTGTTCAATCTACAACTTCTGGCCTATATCCACCAGCAATGGTGAATGATGCTATGGACCAAGCCGCTGGTCCATCGTCGCAGAGTGTAACGCCGGCTCTCTACCCACCAGGTTTAACAACCAGCAAACCAGTAGGTCAAAGCGGCTCCTTGTACCCACCGGGAATGGATCTTGGGGAATCAAGCAAGTTTCCACCTTCCAATATCAAGGGTGATGTAAATTCGGCACATTTGCCTCCGCCATCTTTAGAGATGATGAACACCACCAACAACAATGTTGGTGAACGTTTTTCTCCTGGGCACAATCTTTTGCCAGCCACTAAACCTGCCGCTCCAAGTCAAGGGTTCTTTATGGAAGACGGCCAAAAGTTCTTGGCACAGAATCAAACTCATCTATTTTCACCAGCTGGTGCTGGGACGTCAACAGAGGACCTAGCTGAGAACCAATCTGCGGCACAGAATTCCATTCCAACATCTTCATCGTATGCACCAATGGCAGGTAATCCTGGAGAAACCCAGTCGGCACAAAGGAAACTTGCTCCATCCCTCACGTCTGATAATACCGCTAATTCTGAAGCGTCTCAGCCTGGATTTTCTATAAACAACGAGGAAAATAATCAGGCTTTACGTTCAGACGTTGTACAACCTGATACACCGCAGTTGGGACCAAGCAGCATGGTACCTTTTACTAGTAAAGAACAACTGCCCAATAACCATCAAACAGCATGGCAACCGGCTACTCAGCCATTTGGTTCGCAGGCATCAAGCGACGATGTCAAGGCTGAACCAACTCAGTGGGACGTTATTGATCCTCACGGTACTCCACGGAATACCCAACAAGCATCGACATTGCAACAAACAAGTGGACCAGTAAATGTGGGTGAAAAGTCCAGCGGGATTTTTTATACTCACCCATCGTCAAACGATCAGTCAGCACAATTTGGTAACCATGGTGCTGGCACTATCGGTTCAGCTAATCTTGAACCTGGTTTACCCATCTTAGACACCATGTCCGCTCGTGACGATGAATCTCGTGATGGTAATTCACTGTCAGGTCACCAGCAAGTTCTAGCATTTGGTCACGAGCGAGTGAATTCACTCAATACGAGTGATCCCAAATTTGATACACCTCCGGCTAACACAAGCACCATCATCTCCAATGATGACCTAACATCGGGGAACCAGCAACCATACTCCAGTCAACATTTGGGCGCTTCGGTTACCATGTTTCCTGTTGGTATGACACCACAGAACACCAATAAAGCAACTATTGCTTCGTCCGAGACCAAAGGGAGGCAACAACTGGATACCGTCGACCCGAACCAGCATCCGTCGGCCTTTATGCCAGTGAAGCCAAACTCCCCGAGCTCCCAAGACTACGAAGAAAGAGTTCGGCACTTAGAATCTCCGCTTCGTTCTCCAGTACAGCGCGAGAAAAAGGAAGCTTTAATTCAAAGTGCTAAAATTCATACTTCTCTCTGGGACAATGATCCTCAATTGGCCATACCTGGTCTTATTGTCCAAACAGGGAATCGTGGAAATCAATTTGTTCCAGTTTCCAGCCATGACCAACTTAACCGCCGTGGATTCGACAACAGTTCTCAAAGAGCTATGAATGTGCATGGCCAACCGCCAAGTTCCAGCGGTATTTCGATCGACCGTAATGCCAAAATATCGCAGCAACCACATTCTAATGTCGCGCCATCAGATCTGGGTATTCCTGGCTTCACACAGAATCGTAATCGATTCAGTGGTACTCCATCAAAGTTGCCAAATCCACCTGTGGCCTCCAGCGCCGCTCAGCAAACCCTGTTAGCAGCTGCTTCGCAGAGAAGTGATTGTGACTCAACATCCAGTCTTAGTCGCCAAAGTTCACTTGGTGTTTCAAGTTCAAATCAAGAACTCGCCAGTGGAAACCCTGTTCATGATGTGATCGACAAGCCATCTAGTCTAAACCGAGGAAATATCCAACGGTGAGTATGGTTCTCTACTAAGAATAGTGATTTTTCAAACCTCGTTCGAAATCCGTTTTCAAATGCGCGCACAAACTAAGGAACTATTGTCTCACGATGGTCCAAAATCTCAAACTACTAACCATAATCTAACAAGTAACAATAATCTGAGATTTCAGTAATCGTTCAGTAATTGTTTAGTTAAAGTAAAGAATATAGGAAGATTAATAAAATTCTAGGATGTATAGAGAGCGAAAGAAGTGTCAGCAGGGTAGACGCAGATATCTTTTACAAGACATTGTGCACGCATTTCATAATTTTTAAATTGTTTAGCTATTTGTTGTCTTAATTATTTGTTTCTTCGGTATTAATATTCATTCTTCGTAACCTGCGTTTATTAAGTCAACGTGGACGACTCTTGGCTTAAGAGAAAACATGTTAAAATTAAGCGTTCATTAAGAGCTTAAAATTAAGAGTCAAGTTGTAGAATTAACGTATTACATTAAACATTAAATGTAATGCCGATATTAACAAGTACATAACCAATAAATATAAACAGAGCTAGTGTAACCTATTAATAAACGGCGTAAACGGATTAAAACCTATTCAGTACAAAGTTTTCATGGTGTTTCTTGGGGGCGAATTATTTATTTAGGTTTCAATTAACGAACTAGACTGTTGATACTTTTAATTTTTTAGGCCTAATGTCATTCAAGCGCCTGTAGTCAACAACATTCCTTCCTCAAACCAGATTCCTGACCAGCACTTGCAACAGACTGCCCCTACTTCTGGGACCATGACCGGTCTCCCCCAGAACTCCTTCACGCATCCTGACGCCAGCCGCTCTGCAGTGCGTACCGGGTTGCCTCAGAGTGAGCATGCTCGGATGCGTGAAGGTAGTGGTGGGGGAATGGTCCCTGAGTATGGTGGCGCTGATGGTCATGTTGGTCATCCTGTTGCTACCAGTGCTGGTTATGGTTCTGGCCAGAGTGAAGGTATGGTTTCCTCGAGTGAACAGCAACAGCATCAGTTGTTATACCAACAACAACAATTGCAGTACAAGCAACAACAGTACGAACAAATGCTGTTTCAAGATGAGGTCAGCTCGCAAAATCAGCACCTGCGAGGAGCACACATGAACGTACAGCGACAAAGGTCTGAACCGAATCAGTTTACTCAACAACATCATTTGCAACAGCAACAACAGTTGCAACAGCAACAACAGTTGCAACAGCAACAACAGTTGCAGCAGCAACAACAGTTGCAGCAGCAGGCACAGGAGTACCAGCAGAATATTCAACATCAAAAAGTGGAAAGGTAAATGAGTTCTTAAAACCACCTTACAAGCCACCGAAAGCAGTAGTAAAGTAATAGACAATATTGTACGTAAAAGCCAATGTTTCTTGCACTAAGGCGAACTGGCAAGCACATTCACGAGATCATGAAATTACTGGCTAAATTTGTTAAAACACAAAATTGAAGTAATTTTTCGCACATTATCCTCAACTAAACAAATCTCTCATTTGTAGGCAAATTAGCGGGCAATACCCACAGCGAGTTAGCAGCAATGTTAATCTACAGTATTCAACCAACGATACTGATCAATGGCAGCAGCATGGCAACACTGATACACAGTATGAAGATTTTGATTCAGAGGAGGAAAGCAATCGATATTATGATGAGAGCAGAAAGTGGTTCTGGTCTTTCAAGAGGGAACGGTGGATCCGTGCAGAGAAGTAAGTGCTGTTGTATGTATGTATGTATGTAAAACTTTATTTAAAGACACTAGCCCCGACAACAATAAGTTGATTTCCACGGGGGGGTGTCTACAAGATTAAAAATTACAAAAATGTAGGAAAATATATAAGGACTATGTACAAGTTGGTGTGACCCCGGATATTATAGTTAGGATATATTGGTTACGTTGGAGTTACGTTTCAGCTGGCTTTTGAATGCATGAATGGACTCAGCCAGTCTGGTGTTGATAGGGAGACTATTCCATAACTTAGCTCCACTATATTTAAAGCTCTTTTTTAAAAATTCTCTTTTTGGCTTAGGAAGAGCCAGATCTGTATGACTATTTCTAAGTTCATAGTTAGTTTGCATTTGATTGCGTCTAATTAAGGTTTCTTTCAACGTGGGACCTACGTAGTTGTTCAAGACTTTGTACATTAGTATTGATTTACTAGTACGTCGTCTTGTCTCTAAGTTGTCCCAATCAAGAGATCGAAGAACATCAGCAGATCTAATGTCGTAACTCGCACCGGTTATGATTCGGGCTGCACGGTTTTGAAATTTTTGGAGTTTATCCCTTAAGTTTTGATCACAGACAACAGTATTTCTTATACAAACTATTTGTTTCAAGCAGCAGGCGAGAAAGCCAGTATGATGATCAACGATATCACAGATCTGACTCGAGAAGAAGTCGCAATCGTGAGCGAAGAAGAGAGAGCCAGGGTAGAAGACGAACAGACTACAACGACCGAGCATATTATGATAAATATTATCGTGATTCTTATGATCGGGATTACCATCGCGGGGAGTCTGGCTCTAGCGGGTCCAGTGGTGATAGTCAGCGGCGTGATTCTCGTTCAGGACGATCATCTCGCGCCGAGTCTCCACGTTCAGTTTCATCACGGTCGAGCTCGCGGGCTCGACGAAGTAACAACCGTCACTCGAAACGAACGGTCTACGACTATGAAGATTCGTAAGTTCTTAACTTTCACTGCATTCGAGAACGATTTGATGCAAATTACAAGGCTCCATTCCAAATTGGACATAGATATTGTCCTTACTGACCCAAAGCTTTTCATGGCTTATAGTTCTACATTTGTTTATGATTGAAAGAAAAGTAATAATGCTTGCAACGTATTGTTATGAATGACAAAGTTGTTTACAATACTTTTTGTGCAGTCGTCGAGCGCTAAAGTCGACCTTCTCAATATTTCCCTTTCAGTTATCGCAGAGGCGAAGACTATTATGGTCGAAGTCACCAATCATCTCGTAGCTCAAGACGATTGAGCTCAGGAAGTTACAGCTCATCCACATCAAACTCTCTGGGAGACAGCATCAAGTGGGATGACCAGAACAAGCAACAACAGAGTCGTGCAATCACCGCTGAAGATACGGTTGAACGAGGTAAGATTTAAGTAGAGTTGTAAACAGCGGTGGATGAAGCCTGCCGAGAGATATCAAAAATGAGATCACCAAAGTTTCAAAATCATCGGAAACTTGTAGTTACCTTTATGGTACTGCACTGGAATCCCTCGTTGGATAACTGTCACGAGGTCTTCCCTGCAAGCTGGAATCCTAAGAAACGTGGTTGTTTATCCTTAGCTAAAATCGTAAATATATTTTCCACTGTTGTAGTAATTACTCCTGAACGACTAACGCCGAAGCAGCATACGAAACCTCATATTGTTGGAGCGTTTTCAACCGCCTCTCGATTGAGTGTTGCTCCAGCCAGACAAGTCCTTGATGGTGAGACTGCTGAAGTGTACTTGACTGATGTCAAGGTAATCATGCATATAGCTACGTTATATTTACTATTTCTGTACGTATAACTACAACAGGGACGACACTTTAATACTATTTTAGGCTTCTCGCGCAGGAAAAATTCAGTCAGATGTATTGGTATAGGTCCGAATGTCAGAGATAGTCATAGTAGTAGACAGCAATTTTGTGATATATATAGAGCTAATGTTAGCTTAGTCTAAGCCTTATTTGTAGATTTCTAGTAACAATATTACACTCAAGACGAATACTAGCGTATTATTCGACTTCCAGGGAGATCAGATAGATCAGAAACAGAAAGCGTTAGCTCTAATCAATCAGGTTGGTTAATGGTTATCCCTTGTCAAATGACAGGCTCATCCAACATAACTCACATGAGACATACCTACAATATTCTACATTATAAATTGACGCATATGATCTTGTTTTATTCAGAGCGAAGGTAAATTCAATGAGGCGATGCGCAATTTCCCTGGACCACTTTGCAGGTAAAATGCCAAAATAATGGCTTGTTTAAGACCATTTCATTTCTGGAGCCAGGATATGATTGATATTGAATTATTCGACCCTAAGACTGTATATTATCACTCTGCATTTGAAAAGCAAGCATACAAATTGGAACGACAGAAATTTCAAAAAACTGATACTCAATGTTTTATTCTGCTGTATTTTTCACAGGGGCAAAACCCATAAACGGGATGTTGTAAAATATGCCAAAGAGATGGCTATGATGGCTTTCAACAACCAAAGCGATTCTTTTGAAAAACGCGAGGCTGGCTACATTCTTTGGCAAGTGTTGGCTGTTATGGTCCAACAAAATGGGGTAAGAACTACATTCAGTCTTTCTGCACACATAAAAATTATAAAGATTGTGTGATTAGTTCGCTTTTAAACAGTCTGAAAGCACTGGATCAAAATAATTTCCCGAGTGATCTACGTTTGAATATGCAGAGAACTCTTTCTGTTGGTTTCATTGCTTGAACTGCGATCTTTATTCCAGGTGTACCTCAACACCGATATTGCCGAGGTTCTAACCTCGGACCTACCCGAGGATTCTTATACAAGACGGGAACGTAGTTCTTCCACCTCTCAAAGGGTATCCTTTGCAGCTGATGGGCAAGATCATTCCAAACATGATCAAGTCGCGACATATCGAGAGCTTCTTTTGGCTGGCAAAACACAGGTACGCTGCATGTGCAAACAGTTTGGCCGTTATATACGAGGTTATAGTTACTCGTGAATTCCAGCTATATATTTATAGCCGCGGCGAAGTGGAGAACAATACAAATGTTTTTTCATTCATTCGTTTCCCTCCATAGGAAGCTCTGGAACACGCAGTAAACTCCAAGATCTGGGGCCACGCCCTGATGCTAGCATACCACACTGACCAGAATGTATTTTCGAATATCATGGAAAGGTAACGATTCTTTGCTTGCTATATTTGAATTATTCTACTTGTTGTTAACACGTTTGCAACTTGTTTACACGTTTCTCTCAATTGTGTTCTTGTATTCCATATTGTACATGTGTCAGTATATTTTCTAATGCTTTTTCACATTGCTTATTATAGATTCAACAGTCAACTCGATGAGGACGATTCCTTGTTATGTTTGTATCAGCATCTCGGGTCTAAGCGACCTTCAATTTTAGATGTGAGTTTGAAGAATTATCTTTTCTGGATTAACCCCTGCGAGGTCGTGGACCAATATGGATCACAAACCCAGTACAGTTCACGTAGAATATATAAATCTATAGTCTTTTATACCCTATCTTTTTTTTATCAAAATTTAGAAAAAGACAAGGCGATGGAGAAAACATTTGGCAATCATGATTTCAAATCCATCCAAGTCAACCGCTAAAGATAGCGAGAATATTCATGCCCTTGGCGCGAGCTTAGGTAAGTTCAGTTTGGATAAGCCAGGGATGGTAATTTGGCCGGGGGGGGGAGGGGTGTTGTGTTGACCAAGATCACAATCCAAGCTACGTTGTAGTATGCGTGATCAAGTTGATGCATTTTCACATACTGTGATAACTGCTTAAACAAGTCACCAGGAACACTGGAAATGTTTCTTTTAAGAGATTTTTGTTTCCCTGGCTTTTCCAGACATTTTAGGTGCATGCATGCATCCACGACCTACTGCTTGCGTTTGCTGCTATCATGCAAAATGTTACTTTCTCTTTTCCAGAGTCGCGTGGCCTGATTGAAGCAGCTCATCTTTGCTACATATTAGCAGGAGAAGAAATTAGTAAACAGAGTGGCACACTGTTACTAGGTTATTCTTCGAGGTAAGTTGAAGAGTCGCATCGGCTGCCTGTTAAATGAACATAAGGGTTCATTGTTCATCTTCTCACAAGCTTAAACTCTTATTTTCTGTAGTGAAATCCGACCAGAATTCGTGGATTTCCTGGCTCTTCAACGCACAGAGGTAGATCGCAGACATGCATGCTTACAAATCCTTTATTCTTTATTTATGCATTTTTATTGCTTTATTTCCACTCTGCTTGCCAGTGTCTGGCAAGGCGATCTAAATATTCACCCGTTTTGCCTGATACATGCATGTGGTATAAAATTGTTTAAAATAGTCAAAAGGTATTGTGTTTGTATATTCCTGTTAACCAACAACATGTTTCTGTAGATTTATGAATACGCTATGAGCCTCAAAGATGAAAATTTTATAATAAAAGATTTCCAGGTTAGAAATTAATTCATTGTAGATTTCTCTAATGTTGAACTTTGAAAAACACAGAAGTGCCGCATAAGTTGTTCAATTCAGCGTCTCCATTTACTTCGTATTTCAATATTTGTGTACGTTTCCGCAAATTGCGGGGTATCTATTCTATAGAATAAGATTTTTTAAGATCAGAAGATAATTTTATACTTGGTTGATCCTGGAGTTGAACCTTGGTTGCACATTCTTTAACATTATGTTTTTTCCAGCCGTGGAAAGAATTGTACGTCCATTCATTGGCAGATGCCGGATTCCATAATAAAGTTAGTAATTCATATATCTTCGGTTGACTTGCGGTGTTACTCCACAGCCATCACAATCTTTGATTTAACACGCGTGCATTGTCTTATTTAGGCATTTCGTTATTGCGAGAAATTGGTAGATGATGTCTTGAAGCATTCAACATCCTTCACTAAAGATATGATAACGCGACTTCATGCGGTATGTCATCATTTTTCGCCTCAAGTAAAATCACGCATATTTGTTTAAAATAGACGTTTTAGGTCTGTTTTAGGCTTCGAATCAAAAGCGAATAATGAAATTTTTGAATAGCTTATTGTTTTCAGATACAACCCTGATATACACATGGTGAAATCGTTTGATGCTCAAATTTTCTTTCCTTACAGTTATCCATGAGACTTTACAGACGAGAATTTATTGCGCCGTTATTAGATATGAACGGACGCCTACAACAATTGTTAGATCTACTCAAGGTACGAAGTGTATTTTTATTTTACATGATTTTTATGTCGATCCTAAAATCAATTAGACAGCGTCGTTTCTGTGAGGACACGCCAACTGATGCTGTCCTGGAAGCATGCTTGCAGTTTTCCACGCCAAACGTTTCTAAGGCGTGTTAAAAAATTGTGTTTTTAGGTAAACAACGAAACCTTAGGGCGCTCGTTCCTCTCTACCAGCAGCTGGCAAACATTGGCGCAGCAACTACCTGAGCAATCGCAACTTCCACAGGAAATGCCGTATGAGCACACGCAAAACATTGATAATAAAGAAGTTCAGAATTCCACTACAATGGTACCTACAATGTTTGTTCCTCAAACAAATAGTGACATAGTCCAGGAACAAGTTTTATATCGTGAGGACAACAAAGCTTCTCAGAGTTTCGCTCAATTCGAGCCCACCGCTGCACCAAGTGGCAACATGTCCTACACCGGGGAATTTCCAGCTCAAGAACCAGTACCATCGCAAGGGAATTACACCTACGGGGCTGCTCCCAACGAGCAAACTTTTCCACTGGAGAATTACTCCTATGAAAATGTTGCACAAGCAATTCCGAGCAGCATAGAGCACGATGAAACAGGATTACCAAGTTCTGGCACAAACTTTTACGAAGGGGACTCTTTTGAGCATTTGTTACGGAAGCAGCCGAGTAATGCTAGTGTCAACGCAGTCGAAACAAGTGGAATTTCAGCGCCTGCGACTTCAGATAATAGTTTTGATTACTACGCTCAATCTAACTTCAGGGTAAGTGTAATATATTTAGATTGCCCAGATATCCAGGTAACCTCATTTGGAATATATTAAACTCAGTATGATGGAGAGATGTTTGCACCAACATTAGATAAATAGGGCTTTTATTCGAGCAATTTAAAACCGAGTAAGCATAGGATATTAATTATTTAACGAGAGTACGCTACTAATATTTAGTTTCTGTAAAATTGTTTTAGGAATCAAATATTGCGAATGGCGCAAAGAAGGAAGAAACTCAAGCCCAGACCAAGGAAGAGAAAAACACTAAGAAAGACGATAACAAGAAGTCGGAGAAACAGAGTGGCGTAAGTTTTCTACAGTTTCAAATTGAAGATTCTGAATCAACCCGGAATTGAGAAACAGTAATCGTATTGAGCTAGTTGTTGACCGTGGGAGCGAAACATGTTCTGTGTTTTCTGAGGTCTTGTTTTATAGTTTGATGTTTCAGCAAGTTTAATTGTTAGTTTATATTGTGTGTTAGGGGCGGTTGTTTTAGACAATGCTTAAACCAACGAAATTTTGACTGCATTTTATTTAGGGATTATTTACGTCATTCGGCGGTTTCTTCAAATCTTTCATTCCCAAAGGCAAGAACGAGATTATCTTACCTGACGATAAGAAGAAAACTGTAAGTTGCCTTGGCTTCGAATATGTGCCTTTCAGCTTTTGTTTACGAAAATATATATTACATTATTATTTATTGTTTTTAAAGTTTCGTATATGTTTACTCTTTAGATCTATTGGGACGAAAAAGAAGGAAAGTGGGTGAATACGGAAGAAGGTGAAGAGGTAATGTAAAACATGGCTAAATGTTTGTTTTGTAGTTTTCTTTATTCACAATGCATAAAGCTGATATTAATCTTTGTTCCTTCATTAAATAGGAGAAAGCTGACTTGCCTCCACCACCAATTGATCCATCTTTGATTGGCGGTGCCCAACCTGTCATGCCTACCATCCCATCAGGAACTGTTGGGCAACCTACACCAACATCTGGTAAGCAACTTGTAATGTCGACTTGTAAATTAAGTATTTATACAGGCCCATCTACAAGTCTGATCCCAAATCACATCTTTCAAGAATTCAACGTCTTCATTTCTACAGACCTCATAAGCCTAATTTTGAATTATAAGATAGTGCTAATAAGATTTGTATTTGCATTATATTTGGGAAACGGAAAATATAATCTGAGTATCTAAAGCTGTATCGTACAATTGTTATGTTGTTATAACTGTCTCCGACTTCCCCTTTGTCTAGGCACATCGAGTGCAGCTACCAATTTCTCAAACACACCGCAACTTCCAGCATTCCAGGCTTCATCAGCTTCGCAAACTCCTCCAGCGGCAAAAGCTCCACCAATCATTCCTGGCGGTTTCACTCCAGATCAACCAGAAATATCGTTGATTAATTCACCATTATCGACACCTAGCCGATTTTCGCGTAGAGCTCACAGCTCGAAAGGTATCATCTAAAATATGTTAATAATGATTAGAGCGGAGATTTCGATAGGATTATGGCTTGGTTTGAGCATAGACAATCCTGTCTTTTAGATTGTCTATGGTTTGAGAGACTCGAGATTGTTTGGATTAGAATTATACATTTAAACTTTGAACTGTTGTTTCAGGACGTAAATCGAACTATGTTGATGTCTTGAGTGCCTCAGGGGCAACGACGAAACCTAACGAAACCGCGTCACCGCTCCTTTTCCAACCGTTTCCAGCACCACCAGGGAATCAGGCACCAATAGCAAGCAGTAAGTGTTAAAGAACGAAATCCCTTACTTACACGGTTACACCTAGTAGCCTAGTGTTATCAACTATACATCACTAACTACAAAACTTTTCGACTATTCTTAGACATTCTGTCGAATACTGAAGGATCACCGATGCCGCCAGCTAGGTATGTCAAAATACCACTTTGATTTAGCGATACGTCGTGATACGCGATGTTTAATATTTCTGTTGACAAGAAAGTTCAAAACGAGCGAGATTCAAATCCAACGATTCAGTTTTGTTATTCTTTGCAGTGTCTTGTTAAAATCTGTGAAGAGTATTCTTAAATAGTGATGTAGTATAGGGTAGATATATAATATGGATCCAAACAAAATAGGTACTAATATTGTTGTTTGTTGTATATACAGTCAGAGCAACGGCGTTGACCAGAGCAGTGTAGCCAACAATACTGTGGAGGAACAGTCGACTAACTCGCAGGTAAATGAAAGAATACGGTCACCGTTATTGCACGTTTAACTGGATCTTCCCATCTTTTGAAACGCAATTTGTGTGACTAGGTTTCCAGCTATCTTAAAATAGTAAATAAGATGCATGAAAGGCGGAATAAACAAAATTGCCCTTTATGCTCAAGGCTTAAAACCATTAGTTCAAGTGTTAAGTGTCACTCGTATAGGAACCCTTTCTGTTTCGATATGATCCTCAGGGTATTTTCCTAAGTGAGGAATAATTCTTGAGTGTGGTTTTCCTTTCAGGATTTCCAATCGTCTCCCGCCGTACCGTTTTTCAATCCAGCTGATTACGTCTCAACACCTTCGCCAGCGTCCAGTCGGGGCAGATTGTATCCAAGAGCAAAATAAAAAAGCAAAAAAAAAGAAAACGCAGTAAAATGAAAAACAGTATAAATACAGTATTAAATTTATGTAAATTTATGAGAAATTGATGAGCAATGAGTGATTGTTCATTTGAATGATAGAGCTATTTATCAGTATATATATGTGTGTCCTCAAGGCACGCCATAAAATATGGAATAAACTACACTCTTCTACAAGCATTATTTTATCGTGTGATTGTTTTTATCGCTGAATGACGATGCAGATAAATTACAATAATATTATCTGCGCTGGTGAATGATTAAGCATTTTTCTGTCGACGCCAACCGTAGTGGCGTGACTGGCGTCACCAAAGCCTCCCCATCCCCATTCAAATCGCTCACTCCCCAGAAAAATCCTACTTTGGCATCTAAACCGGTATGGACAAGAGCGAAAGGCACTGATTGGTCCCAATTTGACCTCTAGAAATAGCCTTCTGTGTTTTGCTGTGTATCTATGGTCGTAATTGACGTCATGAAGAACGTAATGTGTTTGTTCTTCAGTCATTTTAGCATCCCCCTTTTGCTTTTTTTTAAATATTCACACGACAGTTAGTTGTTTGCGTGTCAACGGAGTGCCAAAACTGAAAAAAAAATTTATACCGGTTTCAAATCTGTCGGGTAATGGTGTAAAGCGGTTGTAACGTCATAAACTATGTAAAGTGTAGACGGTCCAAGTTTTTCAAACGCCTTACGCCTACGCCTCCCCCTGTTGCTCGAATCATTAATTAACGACTAATCCATGGAAACTATGACAATATGTACACGTTTTTCATATAACATCTGAAAACGTAAAGGAAACATAATGAATTGCAGATCGCGTACAAAGTACTAATGTTTCATGAATATCGAAACAGGAATAACGTAATACACATTTACTGTATTATTAAAACCGTGCGTCTCCATATTTTATACAGTATTTCGGTATTTACTGTTGTTGCTATAAACAATACTAACAATACGTGTGCTCACGTGTGCCGGGGGGTGAGTATGTGACAACGAATCACAATATCGCTTGGCAGTCATTTGACCAATAAGAATCAAGAATAAGTAATTACGTATGCGGGCGAGCTATGGCAACAAATACGGACTTCCAATAAATTTTTGTAAAAAAACAAAAATTTGTGCTAAGATAAATAATTTGACTTGAGTCAGTTCCTCTTGGCTCTTTCTTATCCAAGTACGATAAACCTCGTCCAATACACGGCATTTTAGGCGAGGTAAAGTGAAGCTCTTTTAACAAGCGAACTCGGTGCCCGGACGGCTCGAAGAGAGCAATGGGTTGTTGTGGGAACAAAACCGATACCACAAATGACATTGAGATGAGGGATACCGATCAGAAAAGCGGTGGAAATTATGGTAAGGAATAGATTGTTAAGCGAATTTGCTCTATAGAATTATAGCAGGCTTTTTTGGTAGAAAATTGCATTCTTCAGTTGCTGCATTGATAGCAATTTGCAGCATTGCGAGTTTGTTATTAGATCGAAATTTATTAAATGCATGTTATGTAAGCTTTTAGAAAGGGTGCCTTATGACAAGTTTCCTGACATGTAGTTGCTTTTTATAATTAACAATATGTAAGGATTGTCATTTTGCTGCAGTTAAATTGCTTAGTTTCAATAAATACGATTGTGAAAAGTCGAGGAAGTTTTTTGATCATATGATGACTTGAAATCTGATACATACCAACATATTATAAATTTCAATCAACAATGAATTTTTCATAAAGGGTCAATAAACACAGCTGGATATCCTGTAGACATGTCGCAGATATGCTTCACTCCTTAGACCAGACTGCAGAGTAAGGGAGTTTCGAAGGAAAAAAGTGGGGATAAATATCACTATTCTATTAAAAATATAGTTGAAAAATGAAAAATTGCCATCAAACAATAATTTTTTTACCCAAATCTGCTATCTAAAATTAAAACATTATAAAATAGATCCAAAGAGATCTGGATAGAACTTTAAAAATCAAATATATCTTACTAGTACTTGAATTTTTACTATTCATAAACTAAAATTTCAATTGTTAAGCTTGTGTTAACATGTGCAGGAAGTCAAATATTTTTAGTCATCAGCTAATATTTGTTTAATAAAGCCTCTTTGTTAATTCTTTGATCACTATCTGTCTTTGATCACTATCTTTGTTTCTATGACTTCCTATAATATAACCCCCTTAATTATTGATATATAGTATATAGTTATTCTTTGTATTTGGTTTCCTTTAATTAACTATCATTTTGTTTTTGATCTCATTTTTACACTTTCCCAAACTAAAGTGAATTTATAGCAGTAGTTTTTCATGTAAACATAAGTACTTTATATCAAACAGCTAAGAATTGCTAGTACTGTATTTTAACAAGCAATTAAAAGTACAAAATTTGCATATGATATGTGAACTGTGACCATTCAAGAACATTTTTCTAGCTTTTTTAACTTTACAAGCTTTTTTAAATTTTAATTAGTTTCTTGGCCATATATATCATTTTGTATATACTCTAATTATGTAAGGACAAATTTGTTCCTGTAGACTTTTTTGAAAATTTGTACTGTGGTGTAGTTGATTGACAGAGCATGTACCTGATTAGCCAATCAAGAGCATGCTTTAGCCAATCAAAAGCATACTTTGTTTTTAAGCTATATAGAGATGTTATAACAGAGACTTAGAAAGTTTTGGCAATGCAGCATATAATGTTATTTCATGAAACATTGATCAATGCAATAATCGAGTTGAGAACAACAGAAACAGTGAAGCCCTCTAATTATCGTTGTTTCAATACGAAACGAAAAAAATAGATTCAACTACTTTTGAATAAGTGCTATACCAATGGGTAAAGTCAATGACAATGTGTTTGCAGAAGAGGCAGGTATAACTAGTAAATAATACACTGGTAAACTGTATTTTTTCAATTTAGGCAAATCAAAAAAGTTTGACCCACAATTCAATGGCCCCATTAAAGACAGGTGTGTGTCTGACCTACAGTAGCATACCATATTTGTAAGAAATTGCTTAATGTTCAATATTATAATTGGGATACAAATTAATGATCATATAATATATTTTTTATCATGATGTTAGGAGTTGTACTGATATTCCATGCTGCATTCTTTTTGTTTTATTTCTTGTTGGGATGGCTATTGTTGGCATATTAGGTATAAATTCTTTTTTGTTAATATTAAAAATAATGAAAACGAACTACATTCTAGTATTTTGAGATGTCAATGATTTTTAAATTATCAAAGATTGATTGAAGCCCTATAATTATATCTTCAATATTAGAGAAGCATTTACTTATATCCCAGTAGTGTCTTTCTGTTAATTTACAGTCAACTTTAAACATTCCTGCAATATATAATGGCCTGACCTGATGTATCTTGATTTTGAAATTTTCAGTCTAAAAAGATTACTCTATGTGGTGAAGCTGAAAATCTAGTCCTGTAGCTATTAAATAAATTTACTCTGCATATTTTAGCATTTTTGTGGGGTAATCCAGATCGTTTAATTCATCCAGTTAATTCTGAAGGTAAATTTTACATTTTTGGTACATGCTAAGTATAACTCACATTGATGTGCAGATATATGCAACTTAAAACATTTTTTATATTGTTACCCGAATATGTATTTCCTTTACTAGGCAAAATTTGTGGGACTGGAGATTATAAGTAAGTTATTAAAAATACTCCACCACTGTAAGTCTGTAAATAGCAAAGAACTGCATGTGTCCTCCTTTAAATGAATGTGCATGTAAATATGCACATTCTTGTTCCATTTTTATTCTAATGATTTCTTGCTTTTACATGATGTTAAACTATTTCTCACTATATATATATATGTAACTTGAGTCTAGTTCTTTTTTTTAATAAAATATTTCATTAATGGTTTTGTTCTTTAGAAATTTCTACTGTTTTTACTATATACATATAATTGTCAGTTTTTTAACCTATAATTTTTTTTGAATAACCAATTAATATTTTGTAATTTTTTAATTTTCCAGAGACAAACCCAAATTGTTGTATTTTGATCTGACTGAATGTGTTCCAACAGATCTTTCAAAGGCTGCATCAGCCTTTTCTGGCCTGAATCATGTCTGTCCTACCACAAAGGTACATAGAGTGGGTTGCTGTATGCTAATATGATGTCAGTTGATAGTTAGCGTATATTATTATTATTATTGTAGCAGTATTTATCCAGTGAGGCTACATTTCAAAAGCAGTTTTCAGTTGTGCCCTGCTAAAGCATATCTGTGTAGTGAGAGTAAGATAGATATTCTGTCCACATCATCTGCAGAAACATGCAGTGAAAGTAAACTATAACAAAAAACCATTGAATTGTGTGCTGCAAAAATGTTGCAGTCAAATTTTCAACTTGATGCTGAACCTTATGTATACAATGCGATTGAGACAGAAAAATTTTTTCTTGAACGCAAAGATTGAGGCAAACATTTACATAACTCCCTTTACAAGCCAAAGTTTTATTAGGTCAACTGGTGATTTAACCTTGTAAGTATTTTGCTTTCATAACTGCGATATGTACGTCATTCTCTTCAGGTTTGTGTGACAAAATGCCCAACAAAAAACTCACTTGGAACTGAGCTATCTTGTAAGGATATGGCATGCAAACCTGGTATTGAACCATGTGATGCCACGGTTGATGTAAGTAACTAAGATTGATTATAATTGTGACAATTTCCATTCACATTTGTACATGAAATTAGTAAACATTTATCACAAGGTTTAATAATGTAATGCCATAATGTATTTTTAAAGGAAATTAAAAAATATGTAGAAGATGGTAAATGTGCTCCATACTACTTGGAGAGTGAAGACAGTAAGTTATTTAAACTTTATAAAGACCAGTCCCAAAGAGACATGGCATGCAAGGACTAGGACAGATTTATAACCAGATGTAATAAAATAACGGTTTAAAAGCTCATGTTACAATATTGTATTATTACTTTCTTTACAACTTCAATTTAATTTTTCTGATATATTTAGACCAGGTCTTATTAAAGAAGGGCTTTAGAGGAAAAATAGAATAACAACAAAAATTTTTTATTTGTTTTAGTTTTGCACCGTTGCATTCCAACAGTGTTTGGTAGTACAGCGAAAGGTATCTTGGATTCCGATAAAAAAGCATTAAAAAATAGCAAAGGACTCAATGTAACAACAGAAGAGCTGAAGGAAGGATCAAAGTATGTTATCTGCCTTTTTATACATAATTAAAAAAATATTGTTTTGAAAATACCAATGCAAGCAAAGACAATATGGTACGATATTTTTGTAGGATTGTTCAAGCCTTGATTGACTTGCAAAATGTTGGTTTGAAGGTTGGTATTGTTATTTCGCGGTGTTGCTTTTGCTCAGAATTTGCTGTTTTCCTGCTGTATGATATCAGTCAGGTCTCATTATTAATCTTACGTTCTGATAAATCAATTATGATTTTTGGCACTTCACTAGATGTAGGTAAATTCTAGAGGTTGAAAGGGCCTTAAACCTGCATCGAGTGAAGCGCCAAAAAAATCGTAATTGATTTACCCTCACCTATTCTCAGCATTACCATTATATACAGATTAACCACACTTGCTCTTGTCTGTGATTCCTGCCGGAGGACCTATAGTTGACTCATTTTTCCATCAACTGTTTTTGGCTTGAATTTGAAGTGTATTTATAATTCCAGTTGAAATTAAGACCCGGTTAGACAATTCATGGTAAATGAAAGGCGATTTTCACTTCCTTTCAGGTTCTTGAAGATGTCAGGAATTCATGGTGGCTTATTTTAGCGTAAGTATAGTTATAGTGGCCGTATTTAGAACTACAGAGAAAACAATTACCCTCCTTCACTCCGCTAAACTGACTCCTCTTCTCCCAGGAACGCAGTATTCCTACATATTAGACAAATTTTAAGAACATCAACGCCAGAATCGCTTCACCGTGAACAGAGCTCCCAATGATTTCACTTAATTTGCACCCCCGTCGAGGCGCCCCCCCCCTGTTCACAGCAAACAAAGCTCATCCGTAAAACGGAGTCCTTTTGTAGATATTTCTCACAAACATTCTTGACATGCCTCACTATCTTTTATTATTTCGTACCAATATTATTATCAATTATTTTTTGTTCTAACCAAATTTATAATTTATATTTTTATTTATTTTAGTGGTTTCGGTATTGCAATGGTCGCCTCCTTTCTGTACATTGTCACTATGAGGTGAGTTGACGTTGTGAATGGAATTATATACAGTACACTGTACTGAACTTTTGCATAATTTTCTTCCCATTCGTGAATCATATTTTGTGTTTCATGGATTTCCGCCCGGATTAGGTACCATGATATTCAATCAAATTAAACACTGGCTTAGTCGTCATAAACGTCAATTATCTTCACTTCACATAATAGTCAAGGGTTTGAAAATGTTGACGGTAGTATTTCTATTTTAACAGATGGATTGCAGGAATGATGGTTTGGTTGACCACTTACGCTGTATTGACGTTGCTTGGATTTGGTTAGTAGCTACGATTTTGTTGCATATATATTTATAATTTAAATGCCCGAACACTGACTCCGACGACCGACATACCCGTTATTGCCGGAATAACTGCATCTACGAACAATGTGTAGAATGCAAGACAGTGAATTTTCTTGCTTGACGATTTACGCAGGATTTCCACTGGCAGAGTTATGGTTCGCTAGCGAAATATTTGAAATCAGAACAGTCAAGCTGAACTAATTTATTTACTCGGTCAAAATTCAAAAGAAAACATGCAAATATTACCCTTGCGAACTGTTTCTGTGCTTTTGGAAATCCAGTCTACCCGTACGGTAATTATAATCTACTACACGATCTATTGCGAGAGTAGGTTCGGAGTAGCAATGGCATTTATGCATTGAATGCCTCTACTACAGTAGTTCAATTCAGTTCCTTCTTAAGGCCCTGTTACATGGTGCAATTTTTCTTGCAACTTGCAATGCAATTCTACTTCTAAGAGATGTAAATTAGTGAAGAGTTTCCAGAAGAAAAGTGCATGAAGTGTAATAAACACAAACTTTCGTTGTTCCCAAATATACATCTCTCAAAAGTAGAATTGCATTGCAAGTTGTAGGAAAAATTGCACCGTGTAACAGGGCCTTTAGTGCATTTTTCATAGAGCAGAGAGATAGTGAAATGCGGATGTGGTAAACTGAATACAATTCACTTCTCAAGCACATCTGAAACGTAACTTGTACCAGATGGCTGTATATTTTAGGAATAGAATTCATGTTGCAGGATGATGAGAGCAGGATGATGAGAGCATTCACTAGTAACAACTCTGCCGTTAGTGATTTCCGTTTTTTTTTAAGGTGTATACTATTGTTACACCAAGTATAAGGAATTGGATGACGCAGGTGAATCGTCAGATTTCGTTTTCACAGCTAATCTCTCTGTCTATAAAGATTCAAAGAAAACGTGGCTCGCTTTCAGTAAGTTTTTAGAAGTAGACGCGACCGGCTGTGATATTTTTGATAGGATACCCCCTTTTTCTCATTTTACCTTTCATGGAAAGCTGGGGAAGACTCCGATCGGCCAAGTCGTGCAAAACTACGGCTAAACAAGAGTTATGTTTCCGACGTTTGCTTGCCTTCAACCGCACTTCTATTGTTTTATCAGATTCAAATTTTGAGAGTGAAAAAATTCTTGCAGTACATGTACTTTATTTTTTCAACCTAACCTAACCTGACTACAGTACATGGAAATTCGACATGGACTTTGTAATGAAAGAAACATTGCCATTGCTAATGCACAATTTCTTGTCTCTTCAAGCTATAATCCTTGGTGTATTCTTACTGATACTAATCCTCTTATTGCTTGCTCTGAGAAAGCGAATTCAGATTGCCGTAGCTCTGATTAAGGAAGGAAGTAGGTACGTACATACATGGCTTTGTCTTCTAAAATCCGTAGAGTGTTTGTAATCCTCTGATTTGGAATCACATGCAGTGATTTGTGTATTCACTCGTGCACTATTCATTTCAGAGCAATATCTTCCATGTTGTTCACCTTATTGTGGCCAATAATACCTTGGTTGCTACAGCTCATTGCTTTCGCCTGGTTCGTTGCTGTTGGTGTGTATCCTTACCAAAATGATAAACAGGACATGATGACCGTTGATTGTTATTGCTCTTGTGCATTCAATTTTAAATTTTATCGGCATTAAGTCTTTAGAATCGCTACCTTAAACATTTTGCCTTGTGATCTACTCGTTTTTATGATTCCTTAACAAGTTATTTTCCAGTTATCTTGTGACGACAGGCGATGCAGAATTTCAGCTTAAAAACACGACAGATGTGATCGACCCACTTTGCAAATACCAGGTAGATGTGTTTAGAGATTGAAATAGAGAACGGCAATCATTTTCGGGGGGTTTTATGACCGATCCATATAATCCATGATTGAAATTGTGTGCGCCTTCAGATATATGACATCATCCAGATATATTTCTATTTTATAGTATATTTGTGTTTGTTTTTAAGCAATGTATGAGAGTTTTCACAACTAATAACACTGATGCGAATGAGTAATCAGTAAAGCCACTAAAGGGATAAATTTTCATCACACAAAATCTGACACCCCCTGTTTATTGCGCTGTTGTATTGGGAGTCCATATGAATGGATATTCTTCACTCTGCCTTTACGCAATGACGACTGGAATACCAGTGCCTTAAAAAGTTCAAGTAGAATAATTAGATCATGATATGCGACTTATCGATTACTATTTCTTTTGAAGGACTATGTAGATTCTGAAAACCAGACATGTTTGTTTGTGAAGTTTTCCGACGAAGTGTAAGTAACATTTAAACGGATTTACAAAGTTCACGTAAAAAACGCATGAGAAGATGCTATTTAATGTAGCTACTGTTGCGTACTGTATGAATCGATTTGAAAAAAAAAAGGGGCCTGTTACGAGTTGCGCGAAAATGAGACTAGTCCGACTTCCTACTGGCTGCTACAATTACAAAATTATAAATTTTTGGATGTAGGACTGTTTTCCGTCTTCAAGTCTACCATTTGTTTGGTTGGTTTTGGATTATGAACTTTGTGATTGCTTTGGGGCAGTGCGTTTTGGCTGGATCATTTGCTTCGTACTACTGGGCTTGGGACAAGAAAACAGTAAGTAGATGATAGAATTGCAAGCTGTAAAGAAGCTTTATAAGAACACTACACGTACAATATGTTTACAAAATTAATATGCTCTATCTTATATTGTTTCTGGCTGTGCTTGTCTCTAAAAATTAAGAATTGCAAGTAAAGTAGTAACTCGCTCGCAAGTAAAGCAATCACTCGCAAGTCACAGAATCATATGTGAAATTTACACACAAGTATATAACTATTCACTTTATGGAAATGCTTGAAATCATCCGTCTAAAATTCTCGAGTTTTCGACCTATTCTTGAGTTTGGTCATGCAGAAAAGATAGTATGCGTTGATATTTTGAAGAATTCTTAGTGTTCATCAGTAAAATTGATAATCTTTCAGGACATACCAGCTTTCCCGGTGATGGCGTCTTTCATGCGTACTTTACGGTAAGTTGTATCAGGCCTGATCACTGGGCCCTGTTTCATACAGCTTCGAAGAATCAGGGATCCATTGTATTATTTTTCGTTAGACAAAGCATTTTACACACTAGTGCATGACGTTTCATATGCATGTATGCATTTGGGTTATGGTTATCGACAGGGTTTCCACAACTTATTCGCATATGGCTGTCCTCATAGGGGGATAGCGATGACAAAAGAGAGAAACAATGAACTTTTGATAATTTAAAACAATAAACACAGATAATTTCCTTGCATTGTGGAGACCCTGGCTATCGAGTTTGACTTGAATCAGACAGCACTGTTTATTTCTTCAGATATCACACAGGATCCCTGGCGTTTGGTTCACTTATTATCGCGATTGTACAAATAATCCGAGCAACGCTTGAATACATCGAACATAAACTGAAAGGTAAACGATCTTCGTATGTTTCGTGGACTTGGGAGCTTTCTCACGTGAGACTGCATGCAGGTGAAATATTAGGGAAAAGGGTGTTTTCTTGGGGATAGACGAATCTTGCGTGTGGCGGCCTCGCATCATTGACGTACTGTCATCAACTTGTTTCATCCATTTCAGAGTCTGGTCAAGACAATCAGATCGTTAAATACATTTTAAAGTGAGTAGAGAATTGGTCTTCAGACATTACAGTTGTTCGTATATCATGATTTCCCATTTCTGTTATTCAGATGTCTGAAGTGCTGTTTCTGGTGCCTCGAAAAATTCTTGAAGTTCTTAAACAAGAATGCGTACATCGAGGTATCAATGACATTTTCAATGTGTTCAGTCTTCATAAGATTATAAAGTTTCATCTCACAATTCTTATCTCTTCACTCAGATTGCTATCTATGGAAAGAACTTCTGCGTCTCTGCTAAAAACGCTTTCTTCCTTTTGATGAGAAATGTTGTCAGGTACGTTTTTGACCGGCTACTAAATCACAGAGGATAAAGTAAACAGATGACTCCATCAACTTTTTTGTGTTTCAATGATTCATTAACAACTTTGTAACCTTGGTCTGAAGAGTAATTTCGTGATGCCATATGCTATATATTGTGTGGAGTGAACCTTTCATTGTTTTTTTTAACTGCCCCTACTCCACGTTATCTAGAGAAAGAGCATTGCTGTAAATTTTAAACAAGTAAAAGCTCTCCGTACAAGTTCTCAACAGTCTAACTTTTCTTTTGTAGGGTTGTTGTTTTGGACAAAGTCACAGATTTCTTGCTTTTCATTGGTAAACTCACAATCACCCTTGGAATGGGTAAGTGTCCCTATTAAATGTTTATATGTGATGTTGCTACTCTGAGTCACCAACCGGGCAAGCTGAAAAATTAGCTTGACCACGGTGGGAATCGAACCCGCGACCTTTGGTTTGCTAGTCCAATGCTCTTCCAACTGAGCTACAAGGTCAAGACGGTTCGAGTGGTTGATATTTCGGGACTGAGTCTAGTCCCTTCCATTAATAATGATAATGCAAAGACTCAGCTGTGTATATTAAATGTTTATATGTGATGTTGCTACTCTGAGTCTCTGAGTGCTATTTTTCAGCTTGCCCGGTTGGTGACTCAGAGTAGCAACATCACATATAAACATTTAATATACACACCTGAGTCTTTGCATTATCATTAAGTGTCCCTATGTTTCATATTTTAATCTGACAAGTGATGTTGTGTTTAGTTCATTTTCGAGATTTTAACATTGTGAATGATAAAGATTTATACTCGTTTTAGCTGTTGGCAGCTTTTACTGGTTTGAACGTGATAAGAACCTCAATTATTATCTGGCACCAGTAATTGTGAGTATATTCCTCATTCTAACATGCATAAACTAGGAAATGCGTGGTAAACAACGTGCTTAAGAATGCTCGAGAAGCTGTGATGATGCAGGGTCGTTGAACTATGGTTTCAGCCTTCATCTAAACGAGTTAGCAGCTGATTATTTTATCTTTCTTTTTCAGATTATCACAGTCGCCACTTATGTTATCGCCACTGCATTTTTCAGCGTTTATGAAATGGCGATTGACACACTTTTCTTGTGTTTCTGTAAGTGTTGTATTTTATTCTATCAACTATTTTGTATTGCTATGCTATGCTATGCTATGCGACGCTGTACCGTTTTATACCAAACTATACGTATATCATACCATACCATGCCATGCCGTACCGTACCACGCCATTCTATACCATACCATACCATACCATACCATACCATACCATACCATACCATACCATACCATACCATACCATACCATACCATACCATACCATACCATACCATACCATACCATACCAACATTATCCAACAACGTTCCATATGATGCTATACCATATTATACCACAATTCAATACGAATGAAATCATATTCTCTTTCATATCGTACACTAAACATGCTACCATAATCTTACCACCGTACTGTGGTGCCAAATGTATCATGCGATATATGTATTTATTTATTATGTATCATATGTATTTTGACATATATCACTCTGTTTAATAGTGGAAGACCTTGAACGCAACGATGGTTCAGAGGAGAAACCGTACTACATGTCAAAGAAACTGAAAAAAATACTGGGTAAGAAAAACAAAAGAAACTCAGACAGTGAATGATACTACACGAAGTACTGATATTCGTCTTTCACCGAACTTTAGTGTAACAGTATGTTTAATGGCATTAACGGGGTATTTTTATGTCTTGCGTTATAGCATTTTGTTTAAATACGTGGCGAAATTTTTCCTTATTTCCCGTTGTTTAGATAATTTTTTTACTTTACACATTCGTTTAAGCAGATTTCATATAATTTTTGTGGTGTAATTGAAAGAATCGAACATGGATTCCGTCAAGGACAAACATGTTCAATTCGTTAACACCCTTCAGAGAGATGAGTATTCTTGCATACATATAAACCTGTTCGTTGTTCCTTTGCCAAAAATTCATCTTTTTGCCTAAAATGCCATGTTTGATTTAGCCTAGTACGCCTTTGCATCTGACGTTATTTTGTATTTGTAGCCTTCCGCCATTTTGGGTGGCAAATTGACACAAAATTTACATTTAAATGTAGGCTTTCACGAGGTTGGATTTTTTGATTGAATGAAATTTCCCGTTTCATTTTCTTCCTAATTGTAATTCGGTCCACAACTAAAAAATATTTTTGAACGTTTGTGGAAACACCACGTGAATTTAGTTTTGCAAAATTTTTGGGGAAAAATTCATCTGATCCACCTGAAAAGCAAATAAACAAAGAATGCACCATGAGATTGCGGCACGGTGACTTACAAATTTTTTCTGTTATTCAGAAGGGTGCTAAATTTTCAGTTTTCTCAGGTGAATAAGAGATTCTTGCCTTTCAAGATGGCGGACTACTCATCTGATACGTCAGATTGCGAAGCTTAATACTCCCAAAATCATATTTAAAATGAAAAAAACAAGCCCACATGCAAAGCATGCTTAGTAAAAGTTATAATCGTTCATGAAGGTTGTGATTCTATGTAATTTTATTGTAATATAATTTAGCTGTTAAATAAATTGCAAGTGTTGTGAAATATTTTTCTAGCTTACACTTTTCTGCAGAATATCCAAGCTGATTTGTGTTCTAAAAATTTCACTCTCAGCGTGCATGTACAGAAACGTTTTTAACTGCTTAAAAGCCCTGTTAGTGCAATTTTTCTTGCAACATGCAATTCTTCTTTTGAGAGATGTGAATTTGGCAACTACCGAACTTTTATGTTTGTTGTAACACCCCATGGGCGTTTCTTACATTTACATTTTGAATACTCTTCACTTATTTACATCTCTTTAAAAGTAGAATTGCATTGCAAGTTGCAAGAAAAATTGTACCGTCTGTTCCCACTTTCCAATTTTATCGGATCCAGTTCATTTCTGATGGATTGTTTTATCACGGGCTTGCAGTGTATATGGGCAGCAAATCGACTAAACCCAATGCAGTTGCTTTGTCAAAACAGACAACGTAAACTTTCTTCGTCCTTGCGAGGCCTTGCTTAATAGTCATGGCCACATGTCCTATAAACGTCCAGAGGTTTCTTGGCCGAAGCCGTTTAAACTGCAAATATGAAGCTCTAAGACAAGAATAGACTGAATAGTGTATAAAACAGGGCATATTTGTTGGAATGACTATGCCTCTGCCAGAATCGTTTTGAATACCCCGTCCCTATTTCACATCTTTTATTTGATCTTGGGTAAGCGCGGGGTCATGTCACTGAAGGCCCTGTTTACACTATACCGGATTGCTTCCGGAGTGGGTCAAATTTGTAGCTATTAAAAGACAGAGTAAATTTTACTGTCCGAGATCAAAATAAATACACAAAATCTATCCAAACTAATAAGAATTTGCTACTAACCATTAAAGGCAAACGAACATATCGTGACAAGCGAATTTAGCATAGTGTATAAACGGAGCCGTAGTCCAGGGCCTCCAGGCCTTAAAATAAGGATTTCTCAAAAGTAACAAGGAGTCAAGGACACACTTCACAGGAAGTAATAACTTAGAAAATGAATATGTGGAACGCAGATTTTTTTAAGATTTTCTTCCTAAATTTTATAAAAAAATCATGTTCATTTTTTAATTTAGAAGAACACATTCGCATTTTACAAGGACACAAAGTACCAGTGTACAAGGAAACGCAATAAATCCAACTATGCATGCATGAGATTATTTAACTAGCTGATAATCCAGTCGCGATTCAACTTGCTCTGATTGCTCTTTTTAAAGCCTGGTTCTCATATGTCATCGACGGTCTGCGATTGCTATTGTTGGTGAACACTGGAGAATAAAGTGCTTTGTTATTTTGAATAAATTTCTTCGTCACCAGCACAAACAATACATCGCCAACCGTCAGTGACATATGAGAACCAGACCTAGCTAGGTTATACGTCGCATTTTCGTTGCAATAGATACGCGAATTGCATTCGACGTGACCAAAATGCGACGTATAAACCTAGGTCTAAGAGTGTACATAACTTGAGATAATTAAGTCGTTTTGGGCAAACGTTTTTTTTGATCGATTTCTTTCGAATACTAATTACCATGGGGAACAAATCTGATTAGATGAGCCAGACTGAACACATTGAAAGAAAAACGATTCCAAAAAATCGATTACGCGATATTTTGCACTGAATGGAAATTAATGCCCAGTTTTTTTACTAGCGGTACTTCACATCCGCCATTGAAATATCAGTCACACTTGGTTGTCATTCAAAACTTTAAAACAAAGCATATGAGGTTATTTGACATTGTCTATTGTCCAAATTGCATGTGACACGATCAAAATTTGACGTATATTCACATTAGATATTTAGATGGCCCTCGTTGTGGGCTATCTTTAAAAGGGGGAACGGGGAATGGGGGAACGGGGAATCGGGGAACGGGGAATATCGGGGAATATCGGGGAATATCGGGGAATATCGGGGAATGGGGGAATAACGGGGAATAACGGGGAATATCGAGGAATCGGGGAATAACGGGGAATATCGGGGAATATCGGGGAATATTAGATTCACACAGCAAATTTTTAACAATTAATCATCCCAATGTAAAAGTAGCATGGCGTGTTTAAAAAGAATAATGTTAGACTTTTTCGACCGCAGTCCAATAAGTTAATAACACAACATATCAAAGTATCACAACCTACTAATAAATAATGCATTATCTGGTCGTAAAATTAGGAAATATTTAGAACGGAGGACCTAAATATTTGCAGAAGAATCGGTCATAAAAAGTTTCAAAATGATAATTTTTGATTGAAACTTTTAAAGTTTCTGCGTTTGACACTAACTATGGTGGAACTTCATTAAATACCAGTACCTAAAAGAACATAACGTAACATAACGTAACGTTTGCATTTTTCATGCATTAACACAACCGAAGTTATCAAACCTAATAATCAATGTCAATAGTCGATACAAATACTTATATTCATTTTTAAAAGATATATAGTTCTTAAGGTTTCACGGTTCAGTTATTAACGTCTCATTAGTAATCTCTTAATATGCTCCGATCGAAAATAACGTGCGAAATAAGAATAAAGTAATAAAGTTTTTCGTCTTAGACGGAAATCCGTCTACTAGTGCTAAAATAAATTCTGCTGATATGTGGATGTATGAAAACAAGGCTTTTCCGTGCCATCAACGAAAAGGACCGAAGTTGTAAGTGGGAATTTGAATTCCCGTCTGCGTCCAGTTTCCCCGGATATTTAGGTCCTCCGTCCTAAATATTTCCTAATTTTACGACCAGATAATGCATTATTTATTAGTAGGTTGTGATACTTTGATATGTTGTGTTATTAACTTATTGGACTGCGGTCGAAAAAGTCTAACATTATTCTTTTTAAACACGCCATGCTACTTTTACATTGGGATGATTAATTGTTAAAAATTTGCTGTGTGAATCTAATATTCCCCGATATTCCCCGATATTCCCCGATATTCCCCGATATTCCCCGATATTCCCCGATATTCCCCGTTATTCCCCGTTATTCCCCCATTCCCCGATATTCCCCGTTCCCCGATTCCCCGTTCCCCGATTCCCCGTTCCCCCTTTTAAAGATAGCCCTCGTTGTGGCTGATCAAGTACTTAACGATTCAGTATACACCACAGATTGTGTTAGAATTCAACTGTATTTCGCAATAACCACAGTTGTACCACCTCAAATGGGCTTTACGGAATCGTATACCAGGCATATTATAAGGCAAAAAACTCGTGTCTGCGGTGAAACCGCGCTTTATATAAATGTTTATTATATACTTATTGAAATCTGCGAAATACATCACCTTTAACGTTAATACAATTAACGATTAGACACACAAAATACAAATTGGTAACTAAATGTACAGTATTAATCACCGAATACTTGTTATGGCTGCTTTAAAGTTTGCCTTCGGCATATACCGATAGATAGGTTTACATGCGATTTTTTGAACTTCTGATTCATTTCGGATGTCAGCGGAAAGACCATTAATTCCAGTGAACTTTTTTGTTGGGCCATCATCTTTGAAGCCAATTTGAACCGAATTGGGAACCAATACCAGTCCCTCCTATCGTTCTCGTCAGCGCGATTGTCAACCGTGCCGACTAAAACAATAGAAATGGACTGGCACTGGTACCTTTAAATCGGCTCTAAAGTTGACGGCCAAGTTATCCTTCCAGTTTAAATAGAGGTCACTGCTTTTGGTGTACCAGTTACGTCATGCTGGATGACTATTACAAAGGATGTTTTATATGCTTGCAATTTCAATTTTCAACATTCTCCTGTTTTTTTAACCCTGAGGTTGATACGACGTAAAATTTCATACTAAAGACATCCCGCATTGAAACAAACTTATTTTAGGCAGCAAATGGTGCGCAGAAGTTTAACTTCGAAAACAAAAAGATCTATCTACCTACAATCATCTTAACTTAGAATAAAAATAATTGCCTATATATGTATGGTTCACAACTTTTGCAAAGTTTTTTAGCGACATTACATGTCAGGCACACGTGGGTTAAATGTAAAGTTTCTTTACTATAAAGAGTTTTAAACTAAAACTATGTCTATTTTTGTGCTAAAATATACTTTCCAGACCGAAACTATATTATTTTCCCTACAAACCTAAACTACTCATACAATCAAATTTTATATAAAAAAGTTTGCGTTGTTCAACTTTCGTTCATATTTCAGCTGCAAAACTTACAAATTTTCGCCGCTATTCCTTATCAAGTTGTTCTGGTACTCCGCGAAAAGCCGATCAAATATGGTGAGGTGATTGAGAATATTCGCTGTGCCAAACGTATGCGAAGCAACCTCGAACGTCTTCATGCAGGATATGTCTTTGTTTTCCACCATGAGATCATACATTTCTTTTAGCATCGTTCTAGGAAATGCAAAGAACACGGGTGTCACACTAGTATTTGGCGAATAAAAGTACGCTATCGTGATAATTCAGACGTGCGAAACGATGTGCCTGCCAGCACTGGTCGTTTATCAACGTTTCTAGTCAAACACTGAAACGTGAACTTGCATGTAGTTTGGGGGAAAGGCGGGGAAGGAGTCATCTGAATAATAATTTTTAGTGGATCACAGGAATTAGCTATACTTAGGGCAGTAAAACATTAAAACAGCCTCAATAACAGCACCTCTCTGGAGCCAGTTGTATAAAACACTAACTAAATGTTGCATAGTTAAATCCTAGTTAACTCTGATTGGCCAATTTTGTCCTTAACTACAGTTAAAAGTTAACCAGTGTTTTATACAACTGCCCCTAGAAAGTTAAGGGTGCCTCTAATAATGCACTCATCTACCTTGTATTTTGGATGGCTTTAAGTTTTTGTTCAACCTTGCCATCGCTATCTTTTCCTTCAACGGTTTTATTGGACGCCACCTTTGCAAGAGCCTTCCACGGAAAATACTCGTTATTCATTCGACATATACCATCTCCTAACACTCGTGCCTCGTTCTCACACATCTTTGATAAAATAGTAGGTCGGGACTTCTGTCCAGCGGTGGAGATATTATATTTATCGAGCAATGCACGACCTGCACTTTTTGATTGGCGAACATAGGCAATGAGGTCTACCCGGGTTAAATACTCCGGGAAACCAGTCCTACGTTTAAGTTCCCCTAAGGTGATGCCGTATCTCGTCTCGCGGGTGGCAGGAAGGGACATCACCCCGTTAATATGGGTCACTTGGTGATCGTCAGGGATATTGCAATACGGACGTTGGATATCAGAGATGTATTGTTCTCCGGTTATTGTGTTTTGATCTCCATGTGCTACGTCGATGTGAGGCAAGATTGTGCTACCCTGACCAAACTGACCTGAAAATAGAAATACATGTATGAAAAAATCATTAACATTCGGGTAGATGCAGTCATTGAGTTTCAGCCATTAGAATGAAAATTACTGGAATGCTGCATTAATATGGATGGCTTCAACGCGTGTCTGGAAGTCGAGATGCGCAAAATCTTAGTTTCAATTACCCAGCTGAAGATGACTTAAAATTATATTCATTTCAATGGTCGCAACGCCATTGTACAACGTCATGCTCATTGATTGAGAGTCACTGGATTGCACAATGTTTTCAGTTCAATTCCTACCTCTGTCCAAATCTTCCTGGTATATCATGCCATCCGCGCTACTCTTGTTTTCTTTGCTCTTGCTTGCCATCGTTGGACTCTCATGACGACCTTTTCCCAGTCGCTCTAAAAAATTCGATCCAGTAGCTTGCTGACGTGATCGTTTCTTGGTGACTTTGGATGGTGTCTTTGCTGCAGTTGATTGTGAGTGGGATAAAGACACCCTAGGGTAGGTACCCATACTATTTCCATATTCTGATGGGGGAACTACACCTGGACTTGTGAGGACAACTGGCATGCTCGTCGCAGCCATTGTGATGGGATTATTTTCTGGTGGTACAGGAGAAGTATCCCCCTGCATTTCCACATTTCCCTCAGTGGAGACTATACTTGGTCCACTCGAATTGTTACGTGTCAACAGATAACGAATAATGCCAAAGTTTTGTTCGCCATTCTTTCCAGTCTCCTCCTCGGAACTTTGTGATTCCAGGCTACTTCTTGGTGCTGCAGGCCGCTCATTTATGATCATATGTTGTTCACGTGATGCGATCACGTGATGATCACTGGTAATAACACGTGGCTCTTGTGAGGTCACATGATGTTCACCTGGTATCTCAATTTGTTCACCTGCATTACTAGGTTGCATGACGTGCTGTCCACGCGAGTCGTCGCGTAGCAACTGGTGCTCGTACAGTGGTTGTTCACATATCCCTTCTTGTTCATCAGTCACCCCGGTTCTTTGGTAGAAACCTTCAGCATTTCGTACAAGTCCACGAACTACTTGCGATTTCTCCAATCGTTTCTCTTTCCACACTCGGATCTTGTTACTCAATGGCTCCTCTCCACCCTGTTCAAATTCTCGTATCTGTCTACGACGATGTAAGGAGTTGCCTTCTATATCAGTCTGCCTCGTCTCATTGATGAAACACTGTTTACAGTTATCATTCATGAAATGGTGACACTCATCTGCAGCAAAACTGGGTATTCTCTCAAAAACAGGCGACGCGGAATTGTTCTGTTCATATTTCCATCTCTCTGGGATAATACTTGCTTCCGTCTGTATGGAAGAGTCGCTGGCTTTCCTCGCACATTCCTCCTCGGCAAGATCATAGTCATCTTTTGGTTCCGTCTTTATCTTTTTCTGAAGTGGAAAAGGGTCTTCTTCGATTTCTCTCTGTGGTGTTTCATTTGACGCTAAGAATCAAAAACATTGTTTATTACTCCTTGTTGTCCTTCTCGTCTGCCGAACGCATATTAAAAACAATAGATAAACAGTTTCGATGCCTGATTACCTATAGTTGTTGTTATTTGATTTGCCATTCAAGTTCTACTAAAATGGAAAATGATGTAGCTAACTGGCGTACGGCGTACATTTCTCATGCTCCTTGGACTAGAAGCACGACTTGATGGGGACCCGAGTAGAATCACAAAAGGCCATGCTATTGTACGTTGACATACTTCTAGTAAGCCGAGCTTTGTTAGACTTGGCGGCGCATTTACATAAGAAGAGAACGTGTGTCGTATACATATTCAGATTTCGAAATGTCCCACCCACATGATATGAGGAGGCGTTGATAGTAAATCCACATCTACACCATCTCGAGTTTAAGGTCCAGCCACTAATATACATGGCATCATAGACCATTTATTAGAGGCCCTACAAGCTAAAAACATCCGACGATCCAATCAAGGTCAATGTGAAGTCAATCTGGTCGATTTGACCCCCCGTTTTCAATCCCAGACTTAATTGAACTTGTTATTGTTCAAATATTTTCTAATAATTTCGAATATTTTCTAATAATTTCGAATAACAAACATGCCAAGAACTTCAGAGATTTTCAGAAAATATGACTATAAATAAATGCTTTGGAATGATTTGCATTTTACTGTTAAGAAATAGAAAACATTTTCCATGTTTCATAATTATAGAAGTGGGAGTTTGGGAGAACGAGAAATAATCAGTGGGAAAAAGAGCCCGTATAACTGTATAGAAACACAGAAAAATGATTTCTATTTCTTTTATAATATAACTCATAAAAAGATTTTGTACAAATATTATAATTCGATTCAATTACAAATTCTCATTACATCGCTTCGCTTGTCAAGTTCGCTGGGAAAGTTCCGTGTTTCTATTCAGTTATAGAAACACGTTTCTCGACCAATCAGCACGCGCATACTATGTTGTATTATAAAAATATTTATCAATGCATACATTGTAGGTAGCAATCATAAAATATCACACCAATGTTCGTGGATGCATGTTGGGGTTTATTTTGGTGCTGAGTTTACCGTAATACTGAGCGTCGAGAGTCAAAAACGCAAACGTGCATGGGCATATGAATAGCACAAAGGCCTTAGATGCACTCCAGACAATGTTATGTAAAGGTTATGAATAGAGCACAGAAGTGCACGTGTTTTTAACAATGAAAATCAGTTGTATATCGCAATATTACTGGTTTCAAAAATATCAGTGACTGAGGAGTGGGGTGGGAAAAAACCCTTATAGAATGAAAAGAGAGTTTTTTACCCAATCGATGCAAAAGCGGACCGGAAATCAATATGTATTGTAATTTGTATTCACCTACAAGTCTACCATAGTCTTAAGATTATCAAACAACGATACAGGGTTTTAGGATAAAAATGTCTCTAGGATACAGCTGCAATAGAAGCAGAAATAATGTAAAACTGACACGATTCCGCCTGAGTGATGGAAAACAGACCATAGACGTTTATAGTCACTTATCAAGAAACACTGGGACTCTGGTAAACACTGGATAGTCACTTGGAAAGTGTATACTAAAATGCAGAAATCGACTATGGTATGGTATTATGATAATGTTAAGATGTTGTTTAAGTAGATCCCGAGAACGATAGGATAAATAAAATCTTTCAAATTGAGAAGAACGAATCTGAAGCGTGTGTCCAACTACACGGGCTTCAAATATTTATAGACTCGGTTTGAACTATTTTAAGACTGAGTGTAGTTAAGGCTTATAGAAGGATAATTCAAAATCTTGTTTAACAACATTCCATTCTTCGGGAAAATCTTTAGCTCAATTTTCATGGAATTGTTTAAATTTTCAAGGAATTTACAGCATGCGGACCTCCTCAGGCAAAATATCATGACTGGTGAAATAATATCCAGAGAATTAATGTTGCAACACGTAGAGAGTGCTAGGTGACGATTGAGATGTGTCGAATATGATATTTTAATTCTGTTAGAAACCAGCACCGATACATAATTTAATAAACTCATGTTTACCCTGCATTGTACGAACAGACAAGCAGAGCTTTGCTATTTTTAGTGTGCGCACTGACTTTCACCTCTGTGACTTAAGTTCGATTCGACGATAGTTGTTATTTATTCGATTTTTAGTTTAATCATAGTCATCCAGAAGTACTAATGGTTGAGTTCAGTGCACTCCTAGAGAAAACGGTAGGCTCGTATAAAAAGATAGAGCTAATGTACGCTGAACCACAGGATGTTACCTCCTTATTACTTGTAGCCTGATAAAGCTCGAGCTTGGAATACATGGCATAGTTTTCCATGTTTGATTCGATCACGTTTTCTACCAAACCTAATTAGAACGGAGTCAAGACAGCGCTATTTTTCATTTCGTTGTTAGCCATATGCTATTTAATTATTCTCAGAAAAAAAAACGCGATGTTGACTGCCATGTATCTGTCAACGTCGTAATCGAAACTTCAATTTCCGTTTACATGCAGCGTAGCTATCGTAATGAACAACGCCTTCCGTCACAGAGCGGTCGAGAAAGTGCCTGTCCCGGTATAAAAAATGTATGCAGACAATGCCGGGTTAACGATTTTATCATTGAATATAACCAGTCAACATTCTTGCAAGACTCTCTGACGCAAAAAAATACATTGGCATACCTATTGACAATGTACTGATCGGCTGCACTAATATTAAAATATTTGAATATATTCGATTCGATATTTGAATATGTTCACAAACAGGCAGCCAACCTAAATATGTAAGGACTACAAAGACATCGGCTCATCAACTGCCAAATAAAGTACAAAGAAAAATTTTTCTACGTTTCAAATTTAAGGCTTTCATCGGGAGGTTTGGTGAAACGAGGAAAGTTAGTATCTCCGACATGAATAAGGCTTTTAGACTTAGGTAAAAAAATCGTGAAGTTTGGGTTTGTATAGCCAGTTAATGGCCCGAATTGATTAACGATAGCTGAACAATATAAGTGTAAAGTCCATTCGTTATTGATCAACTGTTTAACCGCGTCGTAGACAGAGTTTAGGAAAACTATAAATCGTATTTCAGGACTAAGAATTAACGATTTTTCAATATTATGGGGTAAAATGAGTTTATATACCTGTCCTTAGGCTTAGCGATCCAGCGTCACTGTTTAGTTCTTCTGCAGCCTTATCAGAAAACCTTGCTGTAGTTCTGAGTTAGAATTATGTTTCCTTTTTTGAGAACCGCTATTGTCTATGTCGATATATTTCTCATAAATATATGATCTATAAATCGCTGTAAGTTTAGGCCCTCGAAAAAGTTCCTTCTTAATAATTTCAGCATGTAAAATGCATGATGAAACACTTAATCTTAGCAAATAGCAATAGTTTCTGTACTTATCGTATATAATTTCATTAGGATCCCTATTACCACATTGATTCATATCAAACGCAGTATTCTTTTTATAAATTCAAAGACAAACAGCTTTCTTGGAAAATAATTAAAACATACTTGCAATTGTAAATGTATACAACACATTACTAAATCGTACCGTATGCAAAAGCTAATGCATCATATGGATTTAATTGTTTACACCATGTCAATTTATCGAAGCTTATGTATAAAAACACGAGCATCTTTTAGTATAAATGATATAAATTGTAGTAGCTTTTGTATAAGCTGAAGTTGGAGAATATAACTTGTAACTGAGCGCGAGACAGTAAACATTGTCATTTGTGCTCCTACCTCGACATGCTTGTTTGTTCCTCTGGCTCTTCTTGGCAAACAAGTTTTTTCGTTCAACTTTTGTGTGCTTTGTATCGCTATATTTTAAAATATCCCAGTCCGAGAACTGTTATCGTGCATCAAACTTCTTGCTTCAATCGTTACTAACAATACCGTCCAATATCTTTACGGCGATCAAATTTCTCCGCCAGTTTATGGAAATTCATTTCAATATTTGACTGCATGCAAAACTGATACGAAGCATTGATGCATGACCGCAGATAATGCTTGGAATACAGGCTTTGCTTAAATTTTAAAGTTTTGAGAGAGAACAATACAAGTTGTACATTCTTCAGAGTACGGCAGGGCATTATTACAATAAAACTCACAATGGTGTGTGTCTGAACAAAGGAAGGGGCCAAGCTTCAATATAGTTAAAATGGATGTGCTAACTTTTCATACAGTACACCTTTTTCGCGTAGTTCATACACAACTATTTCATTTTCTACACAATTATTTCTTTACTACGACGAACGTATAGAATATTAGGATAAAATCCTAGGGCTCTGCGCAGTCTCTACGAAGTTTGAAATTTGAGACAAAGACACGTTGATAAATATTTGCGCAGCTATCGTACCATTCAGAACCGTGATTAATCACATTTCGAAATATTCCAATACTTAGATAACACAACACAACATGCCTAAACTTTTACACCTCTCTTGCGAGTTTTCGAACGTGTGTTGCAATTTTTCACCTTAATTGAGACAGGATAGAATGTGCGAAACATGGCTAAGAATTCATTAATCACGAACTCTAGAAGTCTCGGATAGTGTTTCCGAGATACACCGCAGACACGCGGCCGCCAAAACCCAATTTGATTATTTGAATATGCCTTTGGCACTCACTTTAAACTATATTTCGCCACTGAAATTGACCTAAATTCCGTTCAGAACGGAAAGCACATCATAGCTTGTTCAGGAAATGTTTGTTTGATGTGTTATGAACAAAAAATAAGTGTCACTTTTTGTTCCGCCGAAAGCACCGAATGACAATACTACCGAAACGAAATATTTTAATTACTTAACTTAATACTGATAATCACGTATGCAGGACTTCTGTTGTGCGTTTCACATTTTCCTTATGAAATCAACTACATCTGCCAAGTGTATTGAATTCTTAGATTATCTATCTCGTGATTTTTAGAATCGCGTGATCGGGGTGTACGTATGCCATTTAATATCCAAATAACTCCACGGTATAATATTTGATATAAACCCGAGAATTTTTCAATAATAATGTACTATATCTCGTCTATACTCTTAGCCTCCGGGCTACAAGACTGTTTTGATTGTACGAGTAGTCTCATACACGAAAACTAAGGAATATCAAGCGTATTTATAAACACAAACGCATCGCGTGCGTTCAAAGGTTGTAATTACTTTAATTTGTCCATAATTTCAGACATGTGAAACGCAGCAAGGCGAAGCGGAATACGACATATTTGAAATGAATGGTTCAGTTCAAACGTTTTGTACTTGTCGACCGAAATCTAATACAATAAGGCTTACAGTTTATAATAAAAACAAAGTTTTATCAATGTATGTAAGGTAAATCCTTCAAAGTCTACGTAGAAGTCCTAGAATGCATATTTCGTTGCAGATGTTATGCTGCCAACTTAACCACATTGAATGTTAATCAGTATCCCCAAGGCGGGTATATACATTTGATTGTCTGAGCACTATTTCCTTTGCTTTTATATCAAATATTCTCAAATTATGTTTTGGGAAACACAAGTACTTCCTACCTTACGGCTAGCACAAGGGTTACAACCACAAAACATAAACAGAGAATCGTTTTACTGCGAGTATGCTGAGCCGGCCTTGGCCTTGCGTAAGCCAGCTTTCTTTGTGTACAAGGCGAATTTTGGAATGCAATACCTAAATTTTCCACCACGTGTCATTGTTTTGTGGCCTTTGCCGCAAACTATACATTTAGCATATCTCGATGTTCATACTAGACATCGCAAGCACATTCTGAATCCAGATTTAACGTTGGCAACATTTGAAGCACGTTGCTAATACTTGCTGGAATGAGGTCACCGTTCGGTCGAGCGCGTTCATAGAAATATTTGCTGCACGTAGGCTTTATATACAGTCGCGAGCAAATATCCCCCAGAACTTAACTAGGGATTGAAAATACTGGTCTGTAAGTCTTACCGTTAGACAATCTTCGTTTGTTGGTGGTTGAATCTTTGCCCCAAGCAGAAGCTTGCGATGAACAGCTTTGTGTAATAACATGTTCTTGCTTCATGACGCCTACATGTTGCGATGAGTCTGCATTGAATTCCATGATTGTTGAAGGTAGCACCGCAGTCATTTGGTAAAACTTAATCAATTCGCTCCAGAACTACGAATAGCGGGCTTTAGTTCTTAAAGTACGTACTGCTTGGATACGGAGTCAGTAAATTCACGCGGTATTCAGAGCACATCCAAGATGTATGACTAGATGTCAATATTACACGGCTAGCGCCCTCGGGGCATTGGCTATAATCAAACTTATTGCCTGACCCCGCAAGCCTTCTAAAACACCGGAAGCCACACGTTGATTTGCCAAGAAATCGAACCGGGGGGATATTGCCAGGATCGTGATGTCAGGGGGAATTACACCAACTGCCTTGTCAAATTACATGGACTGTTTCACACTCGCATTTATTATATTTGGCAATGGCCGGAACAGGTCTTAACCAAAAGCGGCTGCCCCTTTCGGCTTTTTATTTCATGCATGTTTGCATTTCTAAAAGAAGACAAGCCGGAAGCCGAACAATAAACTAACCAGGCCAGCCTGGATCATTTCAATGACAGTTACCGATGACTTTACAAATGCAGTCAATGGAAAATGTAGAATCCATTGTTTGATATGTATATAGTAAGGCCTGGTTTCCATTTTGTCGTAACTGTCGTGAACGAGTCATTTTCGCCGATGGGAAATATAGTCCAAAACATGAATAACAATATGTATTCAATCCACTAGCCTGAACCACAGCCTGAACCAATGGCCTGAACACAAGCCTTCGTTTCTCCCACCTCAAAATTCGCGGGGTGGCACGAAGGCGAAACTTTGTTAAGTGTTCAGGATACCTTCAAGCAAGGCTTTACCTTAAAGTTACAGACTGTATACAACTGATAAAAGATGAAATAACTATTAAAAGCACCTTGGATGAATATACTTTGTATATTTTTCTCAACATGTTTGTGATGGATCACAAGTCTCCAACCAGTCCGGTAGTCAACATTTCGTTTCCGCAAGTTCGGTTCAACCACAAAAAAGAATCACTTGTATGTGCAGCAAAGGCGTAGTCAGGTCGGGGGACCCGTGAAATTCAATTCATAGATTCTGAAATCTGAAATAGGTGGTTCTGAGAATCAAGTTTTTTTAAAAAAAATGTTCAATTTTTTTAAAAAATGTTCAATTCCCAATTCCAAACATTATTTTTCTCAAATTTCAAGCCTCTGGATCTTATGAAACGGCCTGTTTTAAGTCTGCCCAACCTTGAATATTACGAAATACTCCACACTGTATCACTTTGTATGTGTCGAATATATTTGCCGGGAGCATTGATTTTCAAGCAGCATTTCAGTTTTTAACCAAATTTTCGCCAATGCCGATCAGAGTGTCAAACCCCGCCATGAGGGGGGTATTAACTTCAATATCAAAGAAACTTTTATAGCGGCATGTAATTCTCTTTATTAGGACAGGCGAGAGTGTTGAATGCTTGTAACGCGGCTTGTGCTAAAACATCGGCTCTGCTTGTTGGCAAGGCCTGGGCTACGTTTAGCGTCAAAACATCGGTAACCATGCATTGATCACTCTTCTCAGATAACTTATGAAAGAACTGAAATTGAAATATCAGGCTATCATGCATGAATTCTTCATTACAACCTCTTTCCCTTCTAGCTTTTTCTGGTATGCATGGTACATAACTACATAGTGTTAGGTGGTAGTGTTGCATAGGTTTGTGATATATGCGATACAGGAATGGATCATGTACTGCAATCCAAGTGTCCTTGGGGCGCTGTTATCCCAAACGAAAGCCAAATGAAATTTCCGTTGCGTTTTCATTGACCGGAAAAGCGAGGCGTGTGTGCACCAGTACATAAATAAACACTAAATAATTGTTTCCAGTGAAGAATAATACTGATCTTTATGCTCACGAAAAGCGTAAGATGCCGAATTTATTCGAGAGGGACTGAAATTTTTCTATACCGCTGACTACAAAGAAATGGCCGACTCTCGAAGTAAAATCAAACAAATATTAAAAATACAAAAAGAGATTTTTTACAAAGATCTTTTCAGGCAGGCGACGTCAACAAAAACTGGACTACGTTATATTGCCCGCTAAGTCGAAATTTAATTAAAGAAAGTCATGTTTACGTTTAGTCAAAGGTTATCAACGAAAGTCTTTGTCTTCCTTTAGCCTTGGGGTGCCAACATCAAAGACCCATGCAGATGTCAAAACAAGCGACATAATCTGAATATCTCCTTTCTGGAAAACAGGTAGCGATGCAAAGAATGACCTATTTCTTCTAGAATATTCGTTAAACTGCGAAATATAGCAAAATAATTGCGGTTTATATACCCTTTGCCTTTGGATTATGGTGCTTCACTGTGTACGCGCGCGTTCAATACCGGCACAGTACAATTAAACTAATGCCTAAATGTCTATGATTGAGCTACAGCGGCTATTCTATATCCTTTAATATAAAAAGAGACTAAAAAGCCTCAAAGTATAGATATTTGGCTAAATTGTTATTGAGCTATGGTGTTTTCCTATATTTTTCATAACCATGATATTTTCAATACCGCATAGGTTTTAAAGCATGATTTGAAGCATAACCCTCTAACTGCCAAATGGTTTGAAGAAAATTACATCGGTGATTTATCACAAATTATTTAAGATTCAAGGTTTAGTAGGAATCGAGAAATTCATTATCCTTCTCAGAAACTTGTCAATAATTAGGCCAAGACCGCCCGGCTATATATATGCATGACTAGAAATATTTTTCCAATTTCCAAATCCCCCATTGCCGGAGCTTTTATCTTCCTAAACAACGAGGATATGCAAGATTGGTTTTTCGATGGGTTTTTATATTTAGGTAGCCTGTGTGTCGCCAGGACTCGCCGAAAATATTACAATGAAACACATTCCACTAACGCTGGGAAACAAAATAGGTCACGTCTCAAAAATTGAGCCAAATATCTATATATATACCTTGCGGCTTTTTAGTCTCTTAATATTAAAGGATATAGAATCCTGCTGTAGCTCATAGGCATTTAGGCATTAGTTTACTAGTGTGTTGCATTTCTCATACACCAAAATCCATTTTGGTAAATACAATACAATACATCAGGGGTTAGGGTTGGGCCTATATAGTTTACACTGTCAAAGTTTCTGTGTCCACAGTTGAAAATTTGCGTTGGTAAATCCCAAATTGTAAATCAGTGTTATGCACGATGAAGAAACTCAATGTTAACCACTGTTTTAGTTTCCATAAATACTGCTAGTAAATAATGTGATCATAATAATGAGACAAACTGTGATTACAAAAAAAATGACAGTGTAAACTTTAGATTAAGAAAAATTAATATCTGCATGGTTGGATCGATTGTCTCTTCTTGAAAACATGTGCGAAAAAATGTGATTCCAAATGAAACTTCAATCGGAAATCCCAACCCAGCCGTATATGGTGTCTAAGAGCCAGCGCATATATGCATGATCAAGTAGTTTATTACATTCATAATTGAGGTTGTAATATAGAATTATCAGATGAGTGTTTGCCGGTTAACCATTGCTGATGTGTAACGGTTGTAATTCATTTTCGATGCAAGTAATTCATCAGTTAGTGTCTTCAGTGGTTATTGTCTAATTAATTCCATTCCGCAGGATGCTTTAAAAGCATTTACGATTTAGAATAAATTTAATTTTATATGTCTTTGTTTTAAATATCTTATTCAAGCATGCATGTATTTTATATCTTACAGATTGAGCTAGTGTGAAACGTATGCCTACAATGGCTATATAAATTATGTTAATCCCCAATAGTTGCCTATAAACAATTTCTGGTTCAATTTGTGTTCTATACTGAAAGTATATATCTAGACTACACTAAACTGCAGCGACACCATTTGCCAGACATACTTGATATGCTTGAGAGCGTTTTGAACTTTTCTTAAAAACAATAATGAGCCGACAAAGATGACTGGTTATGAATTTTATGAATAAGAATAAGCCAAACTCTCAAACGTATGTGGGTTAATACGTTTGCAATCGCTGGTCTAGGATCGAGAAAACAAACTATACATTATTTTAAACATCGAGATCGTCACTGTAACATGAACTAATTTATCCATTGTATTGAATCGATTTAATACGGAATATTTGTAGTATGAAGTTGGAGAAGTCTTGTGCAGATTGCGAACGTTCGCTGTCACCAACGTTTGATCTAAAGGCAGAAAACTCGTCCTTTGCTTCAGGTACATTTTTGCACTACCATTGTCTCACTTTTGCAGAAAACGTATAATGTTAGGGTAAGCATTCTCATATTATTCACATTACATATCAAACCAGTAAAGCCATTCGGTAGTTATGATATCAAAACCGATAATAGGGCAATCATACCAGGTCGCAATTGTACATATGTTTGTACATATTCAACGCCAAACCTGGGTAGTAACATTAAATTGGATAGTTATATTAAACAGATTTGGCGCTTTCAGTGACCAAACTACTCGTTATTCAGTAATTCATGAAAGGAGAATGTTTTGCTTTCACTTAGCAAAGTGACAATGCATTGTCAACACGACAACAATGTTAAGAAGATATTATATATACCGCTTTCTAGAATTAATTTGCAAAAATAAATTTGATTTATAATTCTTAATACTTAATACCGTGACTGAGGCTGAATATTTGCCGACTTATTTTCCTATAATTCACTGCATGTTAATTGAGTTGCACTTCATATATAAATCATGAGAATGTATTTGTAAATGGCTGTCTACAGCAAATTGTAGACGTACGCAGCAAATTAAGTAAAAGACTGCACGCCGGTAGTGTAGACTCATGCATGACAGGATAAATAATCTCTAGTAATGAACGATGATATGATAGAAGGTTCTTACTGACTTCTCAATATGATGGGAGACCCAAAGTCAAGCGAAAAATAGCGAAACTTATCTTACTCGGACTAATTTACGAGCTAATTTACACTGATTGAAGGAAAGGGATTCATAATTCGCCCCGGTGCATGTAGAGCGATGGCTGGCGTGTTTTTGTTTTTCTACATTTTAAAAGAGTAAAAATGGAATTTAATATTTCATAAGAGTCTGTTTGTCTACTGTATTAATGCAATTGCATTTAACAGAGCAAACATTTCGAACTTTTTTTGTTTTTGAGTTCAATGTGTTTTCTCTGACGGAATTCTACGAAGCTCAGGCATGCTGTGATGCCGCTTCGTGAAGCTCGTTGACTGACTCGTTGACTGCATTCCAAGCAATGTTGAAAGCAGTTTAATTCGGACTGTCTTACTGATGTATTCATGTTGATAAAACTATGAAACATTTACTCAACAAGAAAAATCAGTCGGATAAAAAAACTGGTTCGCATTTATCACTGATAGTCAGTGGCGGAGACGATAATTGGGGGGCACATATTCATATAATTATTCATGTTCACATGTTGTGCAAGATTATACAGTATATATCTTATATATATATATATATATATATATATATAATATTATATATAATATATATAATATATATATATATATATAATATATATATATATATAAATATATATATATGAATATGTGCCCCCCAATTATCGTCTCCCGCACGCCATGGCCACTGCCGATAGTTGGCTTGATGAAATGTTTGTGGCAGGTAACGAAGAACATTTTACCGAATAACATAGCACTTTATAGCACCGACTTTCGGTGTCGACTGTCGATCTATGAAGCTTCTGACCACGGCCCTGCCTTCATACGTGTATTGCATTGCAGTCTTTCAAATTGAAGGGCTCCCCCATCAGTGCCCATGTTGGAAAAATAAAATGGGGTAGCTTCTCCCTGCTGCCCTGCCCTCTCTGCGAAATCCGCGCACACGCGGGAACTGAAAATGTCGCAGTTTTTAAATTCCATGCAGCATGTTTGCGTGGTTTAACGTTTTGGGCGCGAGGCTGCTTTCAACATATCAGAAAAAGCGTTTCGTTGTGTCTGAGTAGCATTTTCAATGTACCTGAAAAATCAATGTTAAGTTCTTTCATAAGGTGTAGAGCTAAATAAAGCCAAATTCCACCTAAATTCAGTTATACAAATATATATGAGAGACTGATAAAGATTGCATATCACATTTTAGAAGATAAGATTCAAAGGTTTAATATCATTATATTCAGTGGCGTGCACATATTCATATATTCATGTTGTGCAAGATTAATTTCTTTTCAAATCCATTGTCTTTACAGGTCTGTTAACATCAATATATGAATATGTTCCCCCCCAATTATCGTCTCCCCCACGCCACCGATTATATTATCATCGCGTTAGATCATGAAAGATATTTTAACAGTAAATAGTAATGAAAGTACACCACAAATAAGTGTACCATATACCATAAATACCATACCATAAATACCATGAAAAAGAAGTAACATAATGACCATGTAGTCTACTTGCATGCATGAAATAAACAAGCTTCTTTACGGTTCCCTGCTGGATTCAGTGTCACAAAAAAGTATATAAATTGTACAGTTGGATAGGGTGCGGACTTTCTGTAGTCGGGCCTTGTTTAAGCAAGCTATACTATATCAAAGTATGTAACCGAAATCTCCAGACTACTTTAAATATAGTGGAAAGCCGATATCAATTGCTATGACATCCAGTGGTTTAGAGCACGTGCGTGTGACATGTTCGGTTTACATCCGGGTGTGGACCTCGTTGTCACACACACTGACACACAGCCTACTTCAAGAGAAAATTCAAAAATAACATGCATGGGTTATGCCGGATATCCTTCACTGGATGCAATGGCTAGCAATGAAGGTTGATAGGTCTAAGAGTCTGTTATAGGTCATTGGTGAACACTATACGTTCGCTGCCGGCCGACCAATAAAGATAAAGGTTTGCAAGCATGATATTCCATGTTGAATTGGTTTTTTTAAAGTTACCATTGGTTTATTCCCTGTCCTACATTTGTCGAGGGCGCATTGCAATTATAGACTAGTGACAAAAATGTTTGAAGATAGTCTCCACTGACTCCACAGACCTGAAATATGTGTAGAATGAACAATTTACGTTCCCAAGTAAGCTATAAGAACCACGAAATAACATATTCGAACTATACTGATATATTTAAAATATAGTAGTATAGTAATATAATATAAGTAATTAACGGATACCAGAACCTATACCATGTAGTACAATACACATGTGAAGTCCGTGTCATTGAAGTTGTTTTTATTTAGTGTGTACTTGTGTGTACGTATTAAGTTAGTTATTATTACACATTAGTTAGAGTTCTGGCGCGAGGTGCCAAAGTACTTTTTGTGAATCGGATATATCCACAGGTAGCCCAAAAATACGCTGCGCCACGTATATTCGGAGAGTTTTTGATGATCAGGATGCAGAATTACGCCACTCTGGACCTCTGGTTTACTCCTATCGTAGGTTCAAAAAGGAGTCGCACTTATTACGACACACACCAGGCATGCATATAGTAAACATGTTATTTCGCTGAACGTGATAAACCTAGCTGCTTCCGCTCCAGTTCGTGACGTCCGGCTACAATCTGTACGTAGTTAATACATTGAAAACGGATGAAAATATGCATGACGAGTCTCAAGCGTTCTCACGAGAAAACCTTGACTTCGGTTCTAAATTTTCCGGTCCCGTGTGAACGTTGCCATAATGTCTAGGGCAGTCTAGCCTCCATCTTGAATCACGATGGGTATGTTAAAACAAGCCTATATACACTGGCGGTCAAAAAGAACTGCTCAAAACAAGTTAAACTGCCCTCAGATGAACGTAACTGTCCCTCTAACAATATATACGAGTAAATATAGACTAGATTACATGCTAAGCTATATGAAATATTAATATTTTGTTCACCCTCCTTTGGCCTTATAATTGATGACGGCCTTACACCGGCGTGGCATACTTTCTGTTAAGGTGGTAATCTTCACGGTCAAAAGAAATTCATCCTATGGACAGTCTTTACAGCAACGCATAAATCATGGACGCTTTATGAATGAATTCCTTTCTTGCACTATCCCCTTGACATTGTCCCACAAATTTTCAATACTGAGGGTTAAGGTTTTTTGACTGCGCAGGCCAATCCATTTCTGTCACTCCCTCTTCCTGAAACCATTGTTTGACTATATCTTGGAAGTGTGGCAGGTTGCATTACATTATTGAAATATTGCTTGGAATAAGAGAATTATCCAAAATGCCTATGAAGCTCTCTCCTATATTCGCTTCTTTTTCATGAATTTGTATCTAGAGAGTTCTTTTTGACCTGTACAATAAAAGATTGATTGTCACGATTCTTGTTACATACGACAATAGCAACATTTGAGCAGTTCTTTTTGACGGCTAGTGTATAAAATCATATCGATTCAATCATAGACAACGAACAGATTCAATACTGACGTCATGCATGTTATCATAAAGAACCATGAAGTGGAAAATGAATTATCTTGCCGAGTCCCCCTTTAATGCACCACAAGTTTTGCAATACCAACCAACTATGTGTGTCAATAATTACATCCAAACTCATGCAGTTACAGCTTGTGCAAGAAATATCCGACCAGGTCCTCCAACTAATAAACAATTGATGTTCCTATAAAGTTCTGATGCTCCTATAAGACTCCTAGTCATGCACTTTATTGTGATTTTACAGGTACTTTGTAATTTATATGAGAATAGATAAGTAGAACCCCCGCAGTTCAGTAAAATTAATTGAATGGTCTTACACGTGTTTTTCATCAAGAGCATGCAGCATTTCTCTGAAAGGTTTATGGTTGTTTGTATAAGTGACCGTAAAACAATTCAAATGCATTTATTACACAAAACAAAACTTCTATTACACAATTTAATTAATTCATTGCGCAAAGCAAAACAGCGACGACAGCAATGCATGCGTCGTCTGATGGTTACAAAGTATTCACTTCCACAGAAGCTGACTTAGCTGAGGATATCGTCGAAGGCTTTTCCTTCTAAGAATCAGTAACTTACTCTCATTCTTGTTTTCAATGCAACAAGCAATATTGCAGCGGCTCAGGAAACTGGAGGGAAAGCCCGAAATCAGTGTTGAACCAAAATCACGGTAAATGCCAGAACTGTACCTACTTATATACAATGAGATATTATGACAGGTTTTCCTAATAGATGTATTTTGTTAAAACCTGGTTATAATATATTATAGACTTACAGTAAACCAAACGACATTGGCAATTACACTTTGTCGATTGATGCATG